CTTAAAGAACAAGACCACCGCACTTCTGCTCCACGCCTCTGGAGTAGTGCCACCATGGAGGACGGAATTGAAGAGCTTCTGAAGGACTTCAAATACCGGTGTTCCACCCGCTTTCAGAAGCTCTGCTGTAATTCCATCCTCGCCTGGGGCCCTGCCGTTTTTAAGGTGCTGGAGAGCCATTCTAATCTCGCTTAGACTGACGTCCGGGATATCATCGGAAAAGTATCGGATAAGACTTGCTCTTGGATCGTTACTCACACTTGCGTGTGGCTCCAACGATGATGTGTAGAGCTGCCCATAGAACCTCTCAATCTCATTTAAAATCTCAGGTGTCCCGGAAACGATGCTGCCACACTCAGTCTTCAGCCTTGACAGTTGGCTCTTTCTGGCAGACAGATCTCTGGCAATGACTTTGGAGCCCTGGTTCCGCTCGATCGCTTCTTTAATACGAGCAGTATTAAAGTTGCGTAAGTCTCGCCGCATGCATTTGGAGATCTGTCTGTTCAGTTGCCTGTATGCTGTCAAATCTGTTGACGATTGCAGCCTCATCTCCCGTCTAACAGCCATGAGATTAAGAGTGTGATCGGAGAGTTTTTGTGTTCTTCTGCGGCGGGTCTTGCAGAACTTAGCTCCGACCGCATGGACAGTTTCCACGAGCTTGTCATTCATATCGTCCACTGCATTGCAATCTTGTAGGCACTGAAAGCGGTTGTGTAACTCGAGCTGAAAGTTTTCGGGATTTTGGATTAGAGCACGAGGGGGGACGGAGCGTTGACTTCATTAGACGAGACCTCTCCAACTTAACGTTTAGGTTCAGTGTGCCTCTAACCATTCGGTGATCGCTGCCAGTTTTCACCCTTGCGATCACTGAGACATCACTGAACAGTTGGCGTCTGGTCGTCATAATGAAGTCAATCTCATTTTATGTCGAACCGTCGGGGCTCGACCAGGTCCACTTCCTGTGGGGCCGCTTCTGGAAGAAAGAGTTCATCATAAAGAGTCCCTCTTTCTCCATAAAGTCGGCCAGCTGCTGGCCCCTTCGGTTCCGTTGCCCTACTCCAAATTTCCCTAACTTCAGCTCACCGTTTTCTCTTGTGCCTAGTTTTGCGTTGAAGTCTATGGGTCTATGGGTATGACTCTCACTTTTTACTAGTTGACTGTGATTTTTGTGATAATCTTGCCAGTACGATTCCAAAACCTCAAGTTTTCTTTTAAAATAATCTATTGTTTTTCGATCTGACCCATCTTTTTTAATATTGACACCAATTTTACGAATAGCTCGACCTGATTAGCGTGTACGTTTTCCATGTTGCTATTAAATGCAGATCTGTTAAAAAAGGAAAGATCTTACTTTGACACTGCAAATTACTGCTGATGCTGCTGTTGCTGCTGACCAACTTGCCCCCACGTTGCTTCTACTTCGACAGACTAGACAAGTTGTTGTGGATGTTGAGCAAGATGACCATTGTTATGTTGGAGTTTAAAATGCTCGCTAGTTCTCACTGTCACATCACTGTCTTTGAAACACACGGGGCTCCAATTCACTTGTTGAAAGACCCAAAAATGTTTATTTTTCGCTCGAAGGACCAAAAAATGTTCGGGTATTGGACGTATGTTTAATAATAATTAAAATTTTATATAAAAACAGTTTAATAAAGAAGTAAAAAATATAAGATTAAAATATGTTAAAAAATGTTAATGTTATGTTAATGAGTTCGCGTCCGTCGCGGTTACGGTGATTACGTGAACTAACTTAATTTTTGTAATTCCGAACTATAGCGATCGCTTCACGTAAAATGTTAACGCCAGCAGAAATGTACAGTTGGACCGTACAAACGGTGTTAGATGGACTGATGAACTTCCAACAGAACTTGCAAGTGAACGGGTCAGTTACAGAAATGAGTGGTCACAAATGGGTAAAATAAACTTAGAATGATGAATGCATATTACTTTTGATGGATCAGAACGATTTGAAGTTCATGATTTCAGCGACGCTTCTTGTTTAGCTTATGCTGCCGTGTATACTTGAAAGTTTTAACTAAACAAAATGTGTTTGTTTCAATTCTCACTGCAAAAACAAAGGTTACACCCGTACGACAAGTTTCTTTGCCAAGGTTGGAACTTTGTGGAGCAGACCCATTAGCTAAGCTGATCAAAGATGTAAAAGTAAGTCTCAAAATTAATGATGAATCTATATATGCTTGGACCGATCCCACTATTGTTCTGTCTTGGCTTAGGAAGAATCCTAATGTATGGAAAACTTTTGTAGCAAATAGAACAACCGATATAATAAATGTAATAATTAGTGATCAGTGTTACCACATCAAGTTGGAAAATACCCCAGCAGATTGCGCTTCGCGAGGCATTAGACCGAGTTCTTTTAAAGATTTAGATTTGTGGTGGCATGGACCAAAGTTTCTACATCAAAGAGAAAGTATTTCCACTCCACAAGTTGATATACCAGACACTAATCCTGAAAGAAAACTAACAGTACAAACTAATGTTAACATAAATTCGGAATGTATTGATTAAAACTCAAGGTGTGGAAACTCCTCCTCATATGAACAAATATTCAAAATTACAAAGGCTTATTCGAGTTACAGCTTATATGTTAAGATTTATTGAAAATTGTAAAACTAAAATTCAATCCAAAAGAAATAAATCAGAACCTACATGTATTCAATACTTAACATGATCATGTACTCAATACTTAACTGTTCAAGAATTAAGAAAAGCTCTAAAAGTATGCATTCGTATCTAATTTTGCAAAAGAAACGGCAATACTGAGTAAAGGAAATAAGTTGCCTAAAACATGTAAATTAGCATCTTTATCAGTATTTATTGATAAAATAATATTTTAAGTCTTAGGGTCACGAAATTTGTGATGATGCTAAAACTCCTATATTGTTATGATCTAAATGTCATTTAACCTCTTTAATTATTAGAGATTTACATTTTCAAGCATTACACGGAGGTCCTCAACTTACACTAAATATTGTCCGTAACAAGTATTGGAGAAGCGGAACAAAAAATTTGAGCTTGAAAAAAATTTGTAATATATTATTTAATATTATAATTTTAATAGAATCTATTTCTATATTATATTTTAGTAAAAAAGAAGATACATTTCTCAATATTGTAACTGGCCGAAATCGTGTTTAATCACTAATGTTGACTCACGCTTATTTGATGTATTTGGGGAAATTTGTTGCCAATCACTGACCTCTATATATACAAGTACGCTGGACTGGCTATACACCGTGATACGACGAGACAATTTGATTTGCGCCATTTCGGCGCTGACAGCAGAAGTGCACGTCCACGGAACTAATAATAGGGATAGGACAGTGTGACAAAATATATCGATAAAAATTCTATACCCTACCTATACCTAAATAAATAAAATGGACTCTATGGATAGATGGACTCTACTCGTAACGTCCATTCTATTTATGTATCATTTTAATACCATTATCATTCATCATTATTAAGGCCTTCACAAGTCCTTGAAACGACGTCAAGTAAAAAAAGTTAATACTGGTTATTTTTTAATATTTTGCTTTGTTTGCAAAATTTAAACTTATTCGACAATGTCTCACTTGCTTTAAACATTCTACTGCACCGATTAGCCAATTGATGGGTCAACCACCTTCTCCGCGTATTACTCAAGGTAAACCTTTCCGCTGTAGTGGAGTGGATTACGTTGGCCCAGTTATTTTAAAATTGTACATTGTACCCTGGCAGATGTAAAAAAAAAACTTGTAAAGCTTACATATGTATGTAGTTTGTTTGCACAGTCACGAAGGCTATCCACCTCGAATTAGTGACTGACTTATCCTCTGCTGCCTTTATCGCAGCTTTTCGACGCTTTACTTCACGTCGTGGACATTGCAGTAGTTTTTGTGGGGCGACCGTGCAACAAACTTTATTGGTGCCTCTAATGTTTAAAAATAGAAATTCTACTGTAGTAAGAAAAGTCGCCCAGCTTTTAGCTAATGACAACACAAACTGGTACTTTATCCCACCAGGTTCTCCACACTTTGGCGGATTATGGGAAGCTGGTGTAAAGTCCGTTAAAGGTCACTTGAAACATGTTATTGGACACTTTTAACTTTTGAAGAGTATGCCACTTTTTTGGCTCAAGTTGAATCTTGTGTTAATTCGCGACTATTAACTCCTGTAAGTACTTCAGTTGATGACGCTTCTCCTATTACACCCGGACATTGACCGCTGAGATTGGCGAAGCATCACTATCCCTGAGGAAAACCTTGAAAACGTTACATTATCTTATCTAAGTCGATGGCAACTACTTCAACGGATGTTACAAAATTTGTGGACTCGTTGGAGTTCTGAATACTTTACAACTCTACAGCATCGTTACAAATGGTCATATCAAAATGAGGAACCAAAAATTGGTACTGTCGTTTTAGTTAAGGATTAAAGGCTTCCTCCAGGAAAATGGCTATTAGGTCGTATTTCAGATAAGCATTCAGGAAAAGATGGTTTAAGTAGAATTGTTACTTTGCTATTGAAGAATAATATTTTCAAAAGACCTATCACAAAAATCTGTCCTCTTCCCACAGATTTAAATTAGTCTTAGTATGATAAAATTGTATATTGTTTTTAATGTTATCTGAATTTCTTATTTTTCTTGTATTTTTTTAAGGATTGTTAGGCCTTGGGCGCCGGAATGTTTAGACGATTAAATTTAGTTTTTATAATGAACAACAGTTGGCGCCACAAGTCGAGAGTTTTAATTTGGTAGTAGTGTAAGTTTAAATTTTTGTGATAAATATAGAGAAAAACATTGTGACGTTTTTAACAAATAAAATATGATGAAAATTTTATGTGCAGTGTTTAACTTTATAAAGTAGTGGTGTAAACACCTTACTACTGACGGTTTGTTTTTCGTCATACTGATTACGACTTAACGAGATTCGAGTTATCGAGATTCTACTGTAGTATGTACATGGTGTTCGTGTCTTCGGCGTGGGTCTTACCGGGGGCCTGTCCCAGCGGGCCCTTGAGCACTTCCTGCGCGGCGGCAAGGCGAGCGCGCGCGAGCGGTGGCGGCGCGGCGGTGGCGGGCGCGTCAAGCAGCGCCGCAGTCGCACGCGCCGCTTCCGCCGCACCCAGCGCGCGGCACACCTCGCGAGCCACGCTGGGCCACGAGGTCATCAGCGCCACCTGCCCACACCATATTATATACATATATATATATACATATAATCACACAGTCCACCTGATGTTAAATGGATACTGTGGCCCATAGACATCTACATTTATCCTCGATTACGAATCAAAATGCACATGCGTTGTCACCCGTGAGGACTAAGATGGAATGCCTCGTGTTTACAGTAAAAAGGTATTCTCCAACCCCTAATATTAGTAAATAATATCGTACGCTCAAGCTGATGTTGGTCCTATCCCACATTCGACTCAGCATGAAGGTAAGGGGGGGGCGCGACCTTTTTGTTTTGTTGGTGTGTGTTGTGTTTTTTTTTTTTTTTTTTTGTGGGGGGCCGTTTTTGCGGGGGGGTGTCGTTTATTGCCCTTGTTGGTGGTGGGTTGGGTGTTTTTTTGTTTTTTGTTATTTTTCATCTTTTACCCATTATGGTTTCAAACCAATCAATATATAACGAAGTGAGGGTAAGTGGCTGCTACAGCCTATGTACGAGTATACCTACAAGCATCTTCAAACAACAAAGCTTACAAATGCATTGTATCTTTCAGAAACTAAAATGGGCGCGAGGTGCTCCCTGTGCGGGTGGTGCGCCAGCGCTTTTAGCGCGTGCAGCGCGGCGCGCATGTCGCGGCGGAAGCTGTCCTCGTACTGTATGCCGGTGCACAGTTGTGTACAAGTACCTGCGCGGGCGTGAGGTGCTCCCTGTGAGGGTGGTGCGCCAGCGCTTTCAGCGCGTGCAGAGCGGCGCGCACATTGCGCCGGAAGCTGTTCTCGTACTGTGGGCCGGTGCACAGTTGTGTACAAGTACCTGCGCGGGCGCGAGGTGCTCCCTGTGCGGGTGGTGCGCCAGCGCTTTCAGCGCGTGCAGCGCGGCGCGCACGTCTCGGCGGAAGCTGTCCTCGTACTGTCCGCCGGTGGCGCGTGCGAATAGACAGCGCGAGCGCACGGCCAGGCGGAACACAGCGCCCAGCGAGCGCAGGCACTTGCGGATCGGCTCCTGCCCCTCCGCGCCTGCCGCCCACTCCGCGCAGTGCTGCACCGACGACAGCAGCCCCCTGAATACGTCACGTTCATCACTATTCACTAGATCACTGCTGGACATAGGCCAACTCTTGTCACACATCCCCCACTACATATATCTATATTATATTAATACGTAATAGGAAAGTTTTAGAGCCGTGTTCAGATGGTTAACGCTCGCTGTAAATATAACACAACGCGAGTAACCCGGGTTCGATCCCCGCCGGTACAAATGAAATTGTTAATTGCAATTTTAACTGCTGATTTACCACGTGCTCGGCGGTGAAGGAAAACATCGTGAGGAAACCTGCATGTGTGAGGAATAAGAAAAAAATATTTCGATGACATGTGAAGTTCGCCAACACGCATTGGGGTAGCGCGACGGACACTTCCTTGCCCTAAACCCTCTCAGAAATGAGGGGAGGCCTGAGCCCAGCAGTGGGACGTATACAGGCTGTAACTTTACTTTTAAATTTTTTTAGGAAAATTTTGTATTGTTTGTTTCAAGCAGATTGCGCGCACGAAGAAGTGTGAGATTTGCTTTAATTAAAGTTTACACAGAGAAAGAGAGCAGAAAGATTAAATATTTACATTTAATTAAATTAAATAAAACACATATTGTTTGCATTCATACTGCAAATTACTTACAGTAATTGCCATAAATTTAGTATATACTAGATTGGTGATGGTTATTGGGCAAGACCAAAAACGAAACTGGTGTGAGTGAAATGTGCATGTGTAACAGAAAAAGAAACTTTTTTATTCAATATAGATTACCAATAATACTTATTGAGTCACTTTTTTAATTTACCACTGGTTCGGAAAAAACCTCTTTCCTGGGAAGAACCAGCAAGAAAACCAACGGGACTTTAAAAAAAGAAAATAAATAACAGCTTACAATCGTATGTTACAATTAACAAATTAACAACACAACAAATTAAAAATAGCTTGGTAGCGATCACCCTTTCCAATGGTGATTATCATCCATGAATTTCTTAATATTATAATAACCCTTTTTATACAAACTTAGTTTAATAAAGGTTTTGAACTTTGTTTAGGTCGAATTTTGTATATTTTCTGGAATTTTGTTGTAAAATCGCATACTTTTTCTCAAGAATGAATTACTGACTCGGTGGTGTCGAGTAACTGGTACTACTAGCTTGTGTCTGTCTGTTCCTAGTATTTACAGAATGAAAAGCACTTATTTTTGTAAAACTTTTAGTTTTGTGTACGTACATTACATTTTCATGTTTTTTAAAAATTTTACTAAGGGTTAGCAGTATGTACTAATAGATTTAAATAAAGGTTTTACTCTACTATACTTCATTAAATCAGGAAACACAGCAGATTTGATACTAGTATTAAATATAATAGATAGTTGAGGTGCGATTGTATCTAATATGGACGCAATAACTTTAAAGGAAATCCCCACAGATCTGGGGTTTTCTAAATATCAAGTTTTAAAATATTTTACAAAATATTTTGATGATACTTTATGAAATTTAAAATTTTTTGTACACGCATATACATTTTGTTTAAGTAATGATTCGACGGCGACGGCAGGAGAAGAATTCAGAGACTTAGTGGTTAAGATTGGAATATCAGTAAGTATTTCTCAAAAACTATTGCAACGTCTTGATCTGATTTAGTTATGCATCAAATTCAATTATCGATACAGAGCGCAGTGTTCGTGTCATAAAAGTGGTAAAATTAAACATTTTTTTACAACCTTCAATATAAATAAAATGAGAACGTCGTCAATGTAGTTGAATCAATTAAATACGCATTATTAAGAATAACTCAAAAACTACTAGTCAGATCTTGATCAAATTTATTGGGACCACAAAAGAAGCATCAGCACTAATTAGAATTATTTTGCAATTTTACTTCATACTTCAATGTAACAATTAAGTAAGTTTCGATTATTAATTTAATAATTAAATGTTTATGGTTTGATTTTGCCGGCGTATCGTATATATGTAAGTCAAGTAAGTAAAAAAAAATTGCAGGACACAAGCCATTCGTTTACTTACTTTAGAAACAAATTTTCGTTTAAATTTTTTTCCTTTCATGTGTTTTCGCAGACTATACATTTTTAAAGAAGAATAAACGTTTATTCATTTTTGCATATATATTCATATTTATAAGTTGGCTTTAATATAAAAATATATATCCGAATTAAAAAAAAAACGCTATTTTCTTTCATAAAATTTTAAAAAGTTTCTGTTCGACACCGTCCGTATATTCATGGATACCCTATGCGCCCGAGTGTCCTAATCATTGTAACGGCGCCTCTACACGTTGGCCAACATAGTGGCGAATGTAGTGGCCAATAGCATTGGCCAACGTGTAGACGGGGTGTTTGGGCTTCATTGGTATGTATTGGAACGATGGCCCGCAAGTTGGCGCGAGATCCGTGTGGTGTCGGTTTTTTACAAAAGATCAAAGGATTGTTGGCAGAGTTTGGTCGCCGCGTCCACACGTTGGCCGCGCGTTTAGTTTGCTACAAGCTCCCAGAGTGATTATACGCATCTGAATTAAATTTTATATTCAAGCTTTGTAGGGTGGATGCCCCAATTACCAGCATTTTAGTGCCAATTTCAACTTTAAACATTCCTACTACTTTAATTAGCGCGATTTAATTATTATTGAACATTTGTTTTAATCAATAAGCTATTTATTAAAAAAATTAACGTTTTTTCACAATCAGATTATTACGAGAACAATTTTAAAATGAAAAAAAAAATGAAGCACGTCGTTTATACGTGGTAGAACCATGCAATTATATTAGAAGTATAGTTGCAGCACGAAGGTCAGCTCGACCGGGGAAGGACCACGCTCTCACAGAATATCAGCGTAAAATAGCGCATCTGCATTTTGATTAGTAATCGAGGATAGATGTAGATGTCTGTGGGCCACAGTAACCACTTACCATCACGTGGACTGTGAGCTCGTTTGTCACCCTATCCTATAAAAAACGTCGATTTCTTATAATTTAATCGTGCAAGATTTCGAATCATCATCATCATCATTACAGCTGTTCACAAGTCCACTACTGAACATCCTCCTCCACAGACTGCCGCCAAGCATGGTCCTGAGCCACTTTGCTCGTCATGATTTTTTCTTTTATGTTATAAGTTATAATTAGTACCTATTATTAAGTCAGTTTTAATTATATTTATTGCTATTGTTTTTGTCTTTCTCAAAAAATAATTAAATTACCAAATAAATTATAAGGTGTTTTTTATATACATCAAATGTCTGATAGAAATGCAAGTACATATTTTGCTAAACTTTAAAATCAAAACCCAATTTTAAAACATAGACTAATCGATTATAACTCCTTTAACTTTAAAATAAGTTAAGTTCTTATTAATGGTATTTATTCCAGTTTATGATGATGCATGTAAAGAATAAATAAAGCTAATCGTATATCGTATATCTATTTACAGCCCCATTAATATCCACTATTATTTTATAATTCTTTTATAAAAACGTTAACCCCACACTAGGATTTTCTCCCGTATCGCGCAGGCAGTTTACAAACAAAAATTGCACAAGGACACACATTCAGACCCGAAACAATTATTTGTAGGACATACAAATACTTGTTCCGTGCGGGATCAAACCCGCGGCGCCCGGCACAGCCACTCATTGCTGAGCCACTGCGCCACGGTGCTTATAAATTCGTCCGCACATTGGCTCGAACCGAAGTAAACTGAACGACCTTCCAACGTGTGGACGCCGTCACCAACTCTCGGCCAATATATTCGCCACTGTGTTGGCCAACGTGTAGAGGCGACATAAAGATCACCGCCCGCGCTAGCTACCTACACAACATTCCAATAAAAACACGATAGGTACACATAACCTGCGATGTTACTTTTCCTTCATACTTTCATCCTAGCAAAAATTGAGGAATTAAGGAAAAAATGAGATTTTACTAAAAAAAATGTTATTTTTCTCTGAATTTATGTTCTATAAGTGAATGCAAACCACTGGTTTTAAGGATAATGGTGTTTACATTAACACCCTGTATGTACTGAACAAGATTTAACTACAAATTCCATACCTTCAGATATCCATGGCATAGATGATACGAAATAAGAATCTTCATTATTGATCTGGCTTGCACCAACAGCCACATCGTCGTTTGGCGTCGTCATTGCATCAAGGCCAGTTGTATTATGTATCTACAGTACACGATCTTTGTATGCTGAGCATACTAATATTCTCTAAAGGCAGACAATTGGCTTTAATGCTGATTTGTACTTCCACGTGGCAAATTAATCGTCTGTATGCTGCTGTGAATTGTCTGGCTGTAGGACTGTTGTTAAATCCTCCTCCAGAAATTAGTAATTTAAAAAAGTTTCTATATGATCTTGAGAGAGTTTATAGGTCGGAAGAAACTTTAATTTTGCTGACTATGAAATCAACATATAGGTATAGCTACATATAGACAACTTCAAAGCCGAAAGCATTATTAGTCAAAAAACCCATAAAACCAAGTTTTCTTCGACTCTCTATCAAAGCTTGGTTGTCGTATTTTAAATTTTTAATATATTCACACACTGTCACATTCACCTACATTTTCAACATTCTTTGCATTTAAGGCCTTCTTAAATCCGTAGCTGAGTAAATTTTTTTTATTTAACTGGCTTTACGGCTCTGGGTTCTAGCCCTTCGGAGCCTATCATATCTTTCAGAATCTTCATTTTATATATTTTTTCTTCACAATATGCTGATGCGTCACATTGCGAAGTTTTTGGGAGATTTTGACGACAGCTCAACCCAGCGGACTGTTGATGACGACAGTCTCTCAAGTTCATAAGGTGCCTAAACGATTAAATTAACTTGGTTTATATCAACATCAAAGCACTTGTTTCGTCGTTTTCTCTAATAGTTCACAAGCGCCAGACACTAAATTCACAAAATCACTTTTACGAATTAAAATCCGCTTCAAACAATTATTCAAGCGACAAAACAGGAGCGACAGTCCGTCGACGGCCAAGTTACCGCCAAAAATCCCCGTAGCTGAGTAAATTTCTGAAGTTGAAAATGTCAAATATGCTGTTATAAACACGTATATAAACATCATATTTGTCATTTTCAATGTCAAATGCTGTTGCTGTTTATATACTTTATAAAATCTGCTGCAGCTTGATAATTTTCAAACAAATTTAATTTTAATACCTCTTTGCAGGACTCTAAGCTGGTTGCAACAGAATTACTTAACAGTTGAGCTGCTAACCATACATTCATTTTGTGATCTACAAAATTGACATGTTTTGTAGTTACCTTATTTGTCAAATGCGACCTACGTCGTGTTGAAGTTGGCAGAGATTTTGAATTCCCATTCTTTTGTACTCTTACATTTTTTTTGTTTCATATCTAATCGTCTCCGAAGAATATCAATAGTACTCTTCATTTTTTTTCTTCTCGGGGAATTGTCTATAACAAAAACCTTTGCAGTAGAGCTACTGGGCACTAGAGATATATCTCTGTAGACATACGACGATGCTTTGAGTATCGGCTTCAATATAACCAGCAAACAAATATAATAATAATGTGCTTACACATTTGTAGCCTTCTCTGGTTGAAGCTATACGTGGTAGAACCATAAATGAAAACTAATGTACCTAGAATTTCCTACCCTTAGGAGTTTCGTGAGTTATTATATTTTATACCTGCATATATATATATATATATATATATATATATATATATATATATATATATATATATATATATATATACTATATATATATATATATATATATATATATATATATATATATATATATATATATATATATATATATATATTGCATAAAACTGCATATTTTCGCATACGTCACTTAAGCAGCGACACGTTAGCTCGCGACAATTTGAGTCTACGACTGACAGTCAATTACGCTCTACTGTCCGTTACTGTGACAGGCCCGCCGCGCCCACTTTGGGCTTCCTCTTGTTTTTATATTCCGTGTACGAAACCCTAAAAATTAAAAATATAAGATTAAAAAAATTACAAAGTTACATGAGGTTGCATTCAAAGACATGCCTTTGTCTGTTATAAACATATTATCGATAACGTGATATTGATAGTGTTAATCTCTACAAAAGTGAGATCAAAAATAGCGGGAATTCACGTATTTGTTATTATTTATAATATAATTCTTACGCATTCAAAGCATTATTGTAATAAAATGCTTCCATTTTTTGTTCTTTTTCACCTTTCTGCCTGTTCTAAAACATTGCATTTAGAGTGCTAAACATTTTAATTTTACTTACATGTGAAATGTATAATTTTGTCCATATTCTTTTGCATAAAACTGCATATTTTCGCATACGTCACTTAAGCAGCGACACGTTAGCTCGCGACAATTTGAGTCTACGACTGACAGTCAATTACGCTCTACTGTCCGTTACTGTGACAGGCCCGCCGCGCCCACTTTGGGCTTCCTCTTGTTTTTATATTCCGTGTACGAAACCCTAAAAATTAAAAATATAAGATTAAAAAAATTACAAAGTTACATGAGGTTGCATTCAAAGACATGCCTTTGTCTGTTATAAACATATTATCGATAACGTGATATTGATAGTGTTAATCTCTACAAAAGTGAGATCAAAAATAGCGGGAATTCACGTATTTGTTATTATTTATAATATAATTCTTACGCATTCAAAGCATTATTGTAATAAAATGTTTCCATTTTTTGTTCTTTTTTGTGTATAAAACATTTCTGCCTGTTCTAAAACATTGCATTTAGAGTGCTAAACATTTTAATTTTACTTACGTGTGAAATGTATAATTTTGTGCATATTCTTTTGCGAAGAATTGCATTCAGGTTTCACTGCAAGCGTCACCATATTTAACCACACCTTTTAAACATTTATTAATACTTCAAAATTAAAGATATCGCGAAAATAAACGAGATTTGTTTCGTAAAGTAAGGCCCTTACAGACCGATAGCTTGGTACGTGGTTTTTTCAACCTCGCTCTAACGTAAGCGTAAGCCAATCTAATCTTTACTTTCTATATTAATGTTTAATTGAAAGTGAAATACAGCTTAATGTAAAAACCTAAAACTTAATGAATTTCAGTCGAATTTCGGCCACCAATAAACTAATGTCGATAAAAGAAGTAGAATAGTCTAATTAAAAACCTAATTCAAGCAGACAGTCAACATACACATAATTACCGCTTATAAAATGTGCATAAATCTTAAGTCCACGAGATCATCTGCTGTTGGCATACCATTTTGGAATCGTGTTTGTATTTTCATGTATTTTTTGAAATGAATATAAAACATAGAATATTTCTGTAAACGGAACTAAAAATGAACTCACTTGTATACTAATGCGGCAGAAAAATGCTCCTCAATGTACACGTCCAAGACTGGTCGGAAATGTTGAAAACGACTTTCGTCGAGCAGACTGCAAATTGACACTAAGACCAGAAACACGGTCCCCGAATGCGGAGTGCTGAAAATAACAATATTTTACTTAGTGTTAGTTAGTTAGTGATTGTGCCACAAGTGTGCCACCTTAAATTTGCACAAAAATGCACGAGAACACTCCACGCGCTGTTGCTTTTGAAGCGGCGTGAGCATTCTAGGCACCTCTTGCGCTGACTCTAGTCAACCAAATCTAAGAAATACCTTTTGACAGCTGTCAGATTTATTGCACCAAGCATGCCAACCAAAAAATGAGAACGCACAATAATCGATTCTTAAAAAAATCGATATCGATTATTTAGAGTTGGTAATCATTCACAGTTAGGTTTAAATAATACCAGAATAAATTAGAAACGTATAATTTAAAACAAAAGATTTATCGTTTTCTTCGTATTTGTTGTAATTGCTTATTTCTAGAAGAAAAGTCATAAAAAATTAAGCAAAAAAATTTGTCATAAATCCTCCTCCGGCTGATCCCGCATGGCAAACTATGAGGCGCCCACCTTTCTCCGCGGGCACCTTCGAGCAAGTTGCTGTATTGTCATCTGTCCATATTTGCGCTACAGTGTGGTTGGCGTTTAACCACGTTTCATCAAGAAATTGACGTTGTCCCAATCGTTTATATTTTTCATTTCTCTTATAAATGTTATTCTTTGCAAGACTATGTCATGTCTCTCCATAATTATTTTACGTTTGTCAAGTTTTTTTGTATCGAAAGCGTATGCGTTTTAAAATGGTTCTCAATGACTCTACACTACCACTGTACAAACCGGCATCTATTAAACTTACTTGCAACTTCGCCACAGTAGGATATTCGCCTCTTATGAAATAGCCGTAGACATGTTTTCTAATTGCATCTGCATCGGATTGATCGCTACCTGTTACTGGTTTGTTCTTTTTTCGTTTTTTCGGCGTGTGAAGTAAATTATTCTCACCGCGTGAAGGTCCGTACTTTTCAGTGACGATCTTTGCAACGGTGCGTTTGCCAATCCCGAGTGCTTCACAGACACGATCCAGCACTTATGTCACTGGTAAAAGAAGCCCACCGTTTTGTGACTCACGTTCAAAATATTCGTGTAATTTCACCACCAATGTACGAGCTTGACGGTTTAAAGTACGACTACCACAACTACGTTTTCTTTTCGACATTATGATCACTTGCTTAGTCAGAGTCCAGTATATAAATTGCCAAGGTCAACGAACATAGAAGAAACGGTTCAAAAAGTTAAAGCCGGGTCACAAAATAAGAAAACAATCACAAAATCAAAAAAATTGCGGACAGTAAACTCCCAAAATGGCGGGAATGTTGACAAATTAAAAAAATAAACTTGTTTTATTCATATTTGAATATTTTTGCCGATTATTCGCATAACAATGAATTTTAATCATCCAAGCACTACGGTGATCTACACAGCGACATATCATTGATATGACGTCAAATAAAAAAAGTTGATACTGGCAATTTTTTAATATTTTGCTTTGAAAAATTTAAATTTAAATTAGTGATAAAAAACTATACACGTTGTAAAGAAATATAGATAACTTCATAATTCTTTGGATTTACGTAAAAGGTTATTTTTAATCGTGTGAGTACGCTTGTGCAAAGTTATTGCGGAATGATTAATGTGAAACGTCAAAAGGTATTTCTTAGATTTGGTTGACTATAGTCATGCCAAGATGGTTATGAAGAATTTTGAAAATGGCTGTATTTGATACTTCAACAATTTCTGCGAGCTGTTGTTTCTTTAGGCGTGCATCTTCTAATATTAATTTTTCGACTTTTTGACGCCTGTAGCACAACTCCGCTGCGAAACTCAAAGGGCGAAACCGCAATAGTTTCGCTGTGAGTTCTTTGGCGGCGAAACAATAACGAAATTCCCTGCTCTAACGTACAAAACTGACTATGATGTTGTCTCTTTCTAACATGATTTCGCTCATTTGCTTAGGCGCCGTCTACATCTCCGCCCGTTGGCCGCCAATTTGGAGCGGTTCCGCGTGTAACTTGGACGCGTCTGTAGCAATCGATAATTCTTATGAGCGAAATAGGAACAATGGATTTGGAATTTACTGAAAAACTTATACAAGCAGTGAGAAATAGACCTGTTTTGTACTTACTAAATCAAAATTAAGAATAAAAACAGTCTTCATGTGACTGTAACTCTTTACATAATATATTTTCTCCCAACTTCTTTCTTTTTTATTGATATCATGCACCCAGGTACGACGCCTTTTAAAGTAGTTGACCACAGTAAGATTAGTTCCTCCTCTGACTCCGAAAACGACGACATTTTCTTTCGATTGTTATTTCTCAACTGTTCTAGTTTTAGGTTTCGCTAATATAGTTTAGATATATAGAGAACTGTTAGAAACTCACGCAGCGGTTTCCCAGTTGATGTTTCGCAGCGGAGGTGTGATATAGGCATGAATAATTTCCGAAGTGGTCACCTCGATCGGCCTTCTTGGCCGTGGGTCGTCTTCAAGTGACTCTCTGCCTTATGATAGGGTTTTAGAAACCGCAGTTTACTTATAAGGAAAGAGACTACACTTCTTATGGAAAGTAAAGTCATAGGAAGGATTAAAGAAACTAATGGTCTTTAGAGAAGTAAACACACTTTTCACAATAGATAAAATAGGAATGGCTGATATAATTTCAAAAATATTGTACGGGATGAATGTAGAGTTAATGAGAGAAATAAAATTACCTGTTACCATCTTCCGTAGAGAACAAAGCAAATAATGCATCGAGAACATCCCGCAGGAACTTAATCAACTCCTCGCAACTAAGTCCATCCCCTAACCGCAGTACCCGCAGAAGGGTTTCTTGAACTTTCTCAGGTCTAGCTCGCCACTGGAGTAGTGCTAACAGGTCCTCTGAAAGAAATAACAGGCTTATGTAAAACATTGTGCACCTTGATAAGAATACCTTAATTTTAGATACGCATATTTATATGTATGCAGGTATAAAAAAACGTAACCGTCGAAACTCTTAAGGATAGGAAATACTAAGTATATTAGTGTCGTCGTCATAAGCTTTAACGTCATTAAAACCCAAAAATTTTTGGTGGCATGAGAATCTAGACACTTTCGCTAATAATTGACAAAACAGCAAAACTAAGCAAAGATAGAAACAAATAGAAGGATAAGGTGTGACCTATGTCGTGCAGTAATAAAAATCGGTTAGAAAAATATTGCATACCTGTTTGTGTGACGTTCAAAAATAAAACACAGTTACGTCACAGTGACGCCATCTATGTGCTTGCCTGAGAGAACACGAAGCATGAGAGATAGAGAGAACACTCTAAAACCGGAGTGTTCGATATTTCCCTCTCCTTTGTTTGATTTCTTTAGCAATCCACTACATTCGCTTCAATTTTTAATACGCTATTGCATATCTTAATACGGCAAGACTACTACGAGAAAAGAAGTTTAAATTTAAACATACCGTTCTGTGTAAGTTTGGTGGAGCACAAGAGCGTGCTAATGGTACAGTTTTCTTTGGAGCTCCTCTGAAAAGTGGGGATGACGCCGTTGGTCGGCGCGGGGCGAGCGGCGTCGTTCGCACACGACGGCAGCGACAGGTAGCCGGCATTCTGGAGCCTGCAAGTGGTCATAACGAATTCCCGGCCTAGCTGTCAGAGTACCTGCCTAGCACGTCGCACGAATTAAGTTCGTATCTAAACAAGTGTTAGTACTTATAATTTATTTTTATAGCGTAAGGGTGACAAATGAGCATATTGTCCACTTTATCGTAACTGGATGTTGTGGCCCATATACATCTACAATTATCCACGATTGAGGTACCACTGGGGTGACAAGGCAATTCACTGGCGAGGCATTTGCATGAAAGGTGGAATGCCTCATTTACAGTAAAAAGGATCTCCGGTTTTCTACACTCACTATGGGAAACATTGCAGCATTCAGCTGCTACTTTACGCTGGCAATCAGCAAGAGTGTGGTCCTTCCCAGGTGGAGCTCCGTTATTCCGTTTATCCATTCTAAAACGGCCACCCTAGGGTGGATATTCGGAAGAGTGTTCATTTATCCACCCCAGATAGGGACATTCGGAATTCACTTCCGATTGTTCTTTCGACTTTTACCCCAAGGACAGTTCAACAGTAAATAAACTCATACATTTTAATATATTATTTATTAATTTTTAATAACCACATACTTGCTAGTTACTAGATTTCGGCTTAATAAGATATTTTAAATATTTAAACCGTACCAATGGTAATACTGTGATTTATTTATATACTTACTCCAATAAAACAATAGTTAAAATTAACTGCAGTTATACATTTCTTTCATCGTAAAGCGAGGTTTATCTCTAGAATGACTTAAATGTCAAATCGAATGATTGTTATACAACAATTGAAACTATTTTAGCTTTGATCTTTCAAACAAAAAGTATCGTAGTCGTCATCATAAGCAACATCATCTTTCACGAGCTTGGAACGACGCCAAAAGAGTAAGAGTACCGGACGCGTAAGAACCGGTGTTGATTCTAGAGCACACGTCTCCAGCACAATGTGGGAGTATCACTCCACTTACGGATGTTAAGGGAGAGTAGTGCTTCACGCTCTAAGCACTGTGTGAACCACACATCCTGCATGGGGCTTTCACACTGCAGGATGGTCGGTGGCGTATTCCTGTCGTCGAGTCAATTTAATAGTATACCTATATGAAATACATACATACTTCTCGTTTCAAAGGTAAAAGCTGAAACTGTTTAATTATAATGTTTAATTATTGTATTACTATCATTTGATGTGACAGTAGCCATCCGCTAAGTATCTTGAGCTAGGTTCTGTCATGTTTCTATGAATGACGGTATAAAGCAGGAGGAGAAAATCTGTTGAAAAATAATATACGAATTCTGACTATACACTCCGTATGGGGTAGATATATGAACATGCGTTTTCGAGTATCCACTTTAGGGTGGCTGTTTTAAGGCGGAAAACGAAAAAATCGGTCGAGCGGACCGATTAGTGCTACAACCATAATATAGCTGCAGTATGACTCTACTACTTAAAGAGTATAAATTACGAGCCTGGTTGCGTTGTTACAGCAATCGATATGTGTAACAACGCAACCAGGCTCGTAATTTATACTCTTTACCGCTGATCTTATCACTAATGAATATTTTCGAATACTGATAGCTTTGGATGAGTGATTACCTGTAAGGTACGGTTCGTGTGGCACTTCAATTAAATATTGAAGTTTAGTTACACGTTAGATTAAACTGAAAGTTCTAGAATAAATTCAGAAGTTGAAAACGGCAAAAACAAAGTCAAGAATATCGACATAATATTTTCATATAGAAAATTCAAGTTGTCAGTAAGTGTTAAACACATAAATTACAAAATTGCAATACATTTTAATTGATATTTGACTGAATTTTATAATATAAAAAGTTCTATTACTTTCTTTTTTTATTATTTTCTGTCTTTTTTGTAAAACTATATTTTCGAATATAATATTTCTGGCCAGCTATACTTAAAATCAAATATATTAATAAAGGTAGAGACTGAATCAGGATAATCCAGAGTTTCAAAAAATTTTCATGATACGAAAGTATATGAATATAAACACTTGTGTATCACCTAACACATATAACAACTATTAAAATTAAACAACTCGATTCTTAGATTCATGTTTGTTGACGAGAATATAATAAAAATAACTATTAATAAATAACTATTAATTAGTTAAATAATCAAAAATAAACGAAACTCACCGTGTAGTAACTGCGTTAAATATTTCACTATTCCGTCTAATGACATGAGCGTAGTAAGAGGTGAAGGAGGTAAACTGAAACAGGAGGCGGCCAGTAGCGTCTTACTGATAACAACTAGCTCACCTGTGAGATAATCCATGAGAGAAGACTATGTTCAGCAGTGGACTTTTAATAGGATGCAATAACGCTATGATGATGATAATGATGAAACTCGCAAAAACTAAGTATTATGTGACCCAAAAATGTTAAAGTTAAAAGGTAAAATATAAAAGACAAAAATACCAAAAAAAAGATTAGACAACTCGATCACAAAAACTTACTTGGATGGGTCGTCGCACTTGTAAACGTACAACTCGTGCGCGCCATCTCTGAGGGTTGCTCCACTCGGTTCCATAAGCCTAGCGAATGCGAAGCCAAATAGTTTTCTTTCGTTTTTGTCTCGAGCTGAAAATCAAAAAACGATGTGTCATCTTTACTTTGACGCATTTCTGAATATTGGCGTCTAACGATAGCCAAACACTGCGATTAGTTAGGGTCATACTTATTAAGGAAAGAACGGATGAAGTAAAATGATCACAAGTTTATTAGCCTGAAGTAACATAAACGTCTGTCGTACTAGGAACCCCCTTTTAGATTTTATAGAATAAGGGTGACAAAAGAACACAGTCCACCTGATGGTAACCGGATGCTGTGACCCCTATGTCTATCCTTAATCAACATTTAAATTATAGATTCGTCGTCACCCCTCAGGACTACGATGGAATGAGTCGTTTCCAATATAAAAGGTCTTCGGTTCTCTATACTCACCATACGTAACACATTAAGTTGCTATTTCACACTGGTTTTGTAAGAGCGTGGTCCTACCCCGGTCAAGCGGACTACTCGTGCTACAATCATAATTATGTTACGATTTCACGTGATGGTAAGTCGTGATGAAGTTTTAGTAGAAAAATGTCGTGATAGTAAAATGTAAAAGTTTAGTAAACCATATTCCATCATCTATTTAACACTACGGCACTACTCTTTGTTTGAATGGACGCAAACAACATTAACCAAAGAAAGCTGTCCGACTGTATTTTTGTTGGGATGGGTTGATGTATATTACACGATCCAAAAGGTTCCAAAGACAGCGGTATAACCATTTCAAATATGTAAGATGCAAAAATACACAGACCAGCGTCGATAAGATTTATACTGCGATCACCAATCCGTCGTCAAAATTTTTATCTGTCCACTGTGCAAGAGTTATTTGCCTAACATCTATATTCTTAATTCATTCAATGGTATAACTATGAGAAATGTACACAACATTCGCACGCACGCATATACCGACTTTAATTTCCTATATCTATATATTATTGTAACTGGCTGTTGTTATACCGAATAAAGGAAAATAAATAAAAATGATTGATAATAAGTAAGTAGTGCGAACTGACTGGAGCAGTGTCGGAACTCGATGCGCACGTGCGCGTGCGTGAAGGTGTCGAGCGGCACGGCGAGGCGCAGCTGGTCGGCCCAGGCGGGGCTGTTGTTGTGGTACAACACCAGCGACTCGTAGCAGTCCGCGCCCGCGCCGCTTGCGCCCCACACGCAACCCTGCAATCAACGACCAAGCAAAAACCAGATTACTATACAAAATCACAAATGTAAAAGAATTACGGAGTATAACTGTGGCGGCGCTGTCGTCACGTCCCAAGCGAAACGCACCAAAGCCTAAATCGCGCTATCAAAGTTCCGAAGTACCGCGGTATATATAGAATTGCTCCGAACAATCTACCAAGGAACGTTGGCCGCTATGAAATTTTGTCGAACGTTGATCTTGATCTAACAGAAAACTGAGGCGACCATTTTTTTGTCACCCACCTAATGTTGAGTACCTATAGACATCAACATATATCCTCGATTAAGAATCAAAATGTAGATGCGTTGTCACCCCTGAGGACTAAGATAGAATGCCTCGTATCCAACAAATAAAGTGTCTGATTATTCTGGTTCTTTACACTCACCATACAAAATACAGCAGCATGAGCAGCTATTTTAAGCCAGTATTCTGTGAGAGCACAGTCCTTCCTCGGTCCAGCAGACCCATTCGTGCTATAACTATAATATAGCTGCAGCATGGCTCTTCCACGTAAAACATTTACTTTTGAGTGCTTGTTTCGAAATTATAGTTACACAACCATGTTTCGTCGCCAGTCGGTATTTAATTCCGGCATCAAATTTTTTATTATGAATTGGTAGCACTCACGTCGACTGAGTTCGATAACTGCAATTCCTCAGAGCACTTCCCTTGGTAGATGCGATAAACTACGCAAAGAGATGCAACATCTCTTCGCAGTGACAGTGAGTCAAGCCGATTGGAAAGAGCTCGGTCGGTCGCCGACGATTCGAACTGCTCTACGCTGGATGCGATCCAATGGAAGGAGCTGGCACTGGGGAGCCCAAGCCCAGAGATGGGAACAGTATTCCATGTGCGGTCGAACCTGCGCCTTGTAAAGTTGCAGGTGGTGAGCCGGCATGAAATACTGTCCGTTCTGCTGAGCACGCCAAGCTTTTTAGAGGCCAATTTGGCCTACTCTTCCAAGTGACCACGAAAGTGCACGTCACTCGATATGTCGACGCCGAGGATTTTGATACTGGCTGAGACAACAATGGAAGTGCCTTGAAACTGAGGAGATACGACAAAGGGGTTCTTTCAAGCGGTAAACGCGCAAACTTGTGTCTTCTGGGGGTTAAACTGGACTAGATTTAGTCGCCCCCAGTCCGAGATTTTGTTCAACAAAGTCTCGACTTCAGACACAAGTTTGTCCCGTTACTCGTCGACGTTTTCCCAAGAAATATTAGCACGGCCGGTGTATAAAGCATTACCAGTGCTGTCGTCTGCCCAGCAATGAATGTTACCGGTTTGCAACATTTCATTGACATCAGAAGAAGCAGCGTTGGTGATAGTAGGCAGCCTTGTGGAACACCAGCGTTAATGGGCTTATAATCGGAGCATGCACCGTCTACTATGACCTTGATGTCCGATCAGCAAGAAAACTGGTGATCCAATTACACAATTTCTCGGGAAGCCTACTGGAAGAAAGCTTCGTAAGAAGCTCTTTGTGCCAAACCCAATCAAAGGCCTTCGCTATGTCCAAACTAACGGCCAGCGCCTCACCCTTGGACTCTACTGCCTTCGCCCATTTATGAGTTAGGTAACCTAGAAGATCACCAGCCGAGCGACCGCGACGGAAACCGTACTGGCGGTCACAAATCAGCTGGTGACCTTCAAGGTCCGCATGAGCTGGCTGTTAATAATAGATTCCATTATTTTAGAGAACAAGGAGGTGATGGCGATAGACCTATAGTTGGACGGATCAGAGCGGTTACCTTTTTTATGGATCGGGTGCACGAAGGCTGTATTCCATGATTTCAGGACCACGCCTAGAGAGTAGGAGTACCGGAAAAGACGCGTTAAGACCGGTGCCAACTCCGGAGCACACGTCTTCAGCACAATAGGTGGGACGCCATCAGGCCCACTTGACATGTTGATGTCCAGGGAGAGGAGTGCTCTGCGCACCGAGCGTTGGGTAAACAGCACATCCTGCATGGAGCGCACTCACATTGCGGGATGTTCGGCGGTGTGTTCTCCCCGTCATCAAGTGTCGAATTTGACGCAAAGAGAGAGCCCAGTAGATCGGCTTTGTCCTTTGCGCCATGGGCCAGTGAGTCATCCTCCCTGTGCAGAGATGAAAGAGATGGCTGGCAGAAGTTCCCTTGGATAGCCTTGGCGAGAGACCAGAATGCACGTGTTCCCGAAGGAAGACGAACAAGTTTCTCGTCAATTCTGCCGATGTGCTCGGACTTTGCCTTAACAATGACACTTTTGAAGGACCTGGAAGCAGAATTATACTTCTTAACAGAATTAAATTCTGAATTCTTCGAGCTTTTCGTGAATATTTTTTATTTGAATGTAGCTATAGTAGTTATTCAGTAGTAATCGTTTTTATAGAGCGTATCGCGCGGTCGTAAAAAAGAAAGTGACATTTAAAACGCGGACAGGTGAGGCGAGAATCACTCGCGCGGCTTGGACGTTTGAGTGGTTAGGAACAGTAAAGAATGAAAAGTCGACATTCCTATTGTTATTTAAGCAACCGTACACTATGCAGTACTTTTTGGCCTTTTGAGGCCATACTTGAATAAAAACTCAAAATTAAATATCTAAAGTGCGCGTAACTGAGCGCGAAACCTCACAGAATTAGCTTCTTGTTGAGTGAGACTGGTCTGGTTGTACAAAATTTTTAATTTTACCACCTGCATACTTACATTAATAATTTGGCCGGTGTTATCGTGCACATTGACCGTAGCGAGCACATTCTTTGCGGTGCTCTTGCCTCCTCTCTCGAACTCTGCCTTCTCAAGCGTCAAGTACAAGTCATTGCGCACATCGCCCGGCATTATGACGTCGGGAAAACCGCGTTTCGGCGTCACAGTTGCTCCGGAAGCCACTGCCTCGGTGATGCTAGCAGAATTGGTAAGTAAACGTAGCGCCACCACAATACCTATTGAAAAGTACACAGATGTTACTTCAACAACCTAATTGAACAAACGGTGAGGCAGACAGCTAATAATACGTAATACTATATCATTTTAATCCTGCTTACAAAAGGAATGGTCTTTTTCCACTAGTGCCCTGTTTAAGGACTGATGATAATGATTATCATCATTATTATTACATCACAAGTCCACTGCTATAAACAGGTTTGATTATGAGTTGTAGTAATTATTCTTTTTAAAGGATTCTATATTCGTAATAAAAAAACTACTACTGACTAGGTAAGTCCAACTTCGACCGAGAGGTCAATCGACGAATTCAACTCGGTTGGGCAGCATTCAGGGAATTACGACACATCTTCTCGTATACTTGATACCTAAATCTCTGAAAACTAGATTGTACAACCAGTGCGTGTTGCCAGTCTGACTTACGAATCTGAGACGTGGTCCTTCACTGCTGACCGTATGAGGACGCTCAAAGTCGCTCAGGAGGGGCGGTGCGTGATAGACTCAGAAATGAAGATATCCGCAGTAAAACCAGAGTGACCGACATAGACCGACGGATTAGTAAGCTGAAGTGACAATGGGCCGGCCATATAGCTCGAAGAACCGATAACCGATGGAGAAGAAGGGTTCTCGAGTGGCAGCCTCGGTAGGCGTAGTGTAGGGCGACCCCTCACTAGATGGAGTAACGACCTGGTAAGATATGCAGGAAGTCGATGGATGCATTTGGCTCAGGACCGTGCTTTGTGGCATTCCTTGGCGGAGGCCTATGTTCAGCTGTGGACTTGTGAAGGGCTGTAATGAATGAATTAATTAAAAAACTATAACTGTATGTAGTAGTATCTCAAATTCGTTCCTAAGTATTAATAGTACACAAGTAAAGCTAATATTATAAATTGCTGTAAAACACATGCTAAATAAGGTGTATTGTGGTGGCATCTAATAGTGTACAATAAACGCGTTTAGCAATCAGCCATTATACAAGAAATCTTTATCAAATAATGATTTTACTTCGATGCGATAGCTTCTTTAAATCATAATATAATTTTACATGTATTGTATGCAATCGTAAAGCCCCTACTCACCGTAATTGGGCTGTCCTGGAAGAATATTGCACTTGTTTGTTTGCTTCCGTATTAGCATGTCATGTAATTGATGAAAATCTTTTTCTTCACACTGGTAAACCTGAAATAGAATATAATAAGTAAGTGAGTCGGTATTTCGAAATAACAAATTTTAACGAAAAATGCATTTGTGTGAACGAAATTTATAAAATAGATTTCATATGATCATTTGTGTAAGTAACTTCGATCCTTACAATATCATTTCTAATATAAAAATGAACATGGGCATTTTAGAATAAATAAACTTATATTATTATTAACTGGTTACATGCATACTATATAATTTAAAACATACGTATACGCGGAAAACATAACCCACAAACAAATTCTGAGACTGTCGGGGGAAAAAAGTGGTCAAGAAGAAATCTTTTAAGAAATACGTCAGTTTCGTTTTTTACGTGGATTTCCAACGTTAAAATAAATATATACATACGTATGAATTTATTGTAGATGCGAGGCTTTCTTAAGTTAAAATGCTTTTAGCGTTGCCTTCTCCACTGCATGCATATATTTAGCATGAAGTAAGCATGCGATATTCGGTGGACAAAAAGTTACTTTATTTGAAACTTATTTGCTTATTTTCAAGAAGTAAGAGATCTAAGTAAAAAAGTAACCGATTAAGAATCTAATTCAATAACATGCTTTTTATATTATCAAATATGGTTTGGTTTGGTTGTCACTTAAAAAAACGAGAATTCGAGCTCCAAAACTTTTTCCACACAACGATATTTTTTTTATTACGATTTATATAAAATAATTTTATTGAGTATTTACTAGAATACACTATTTCAATAAGTGTCAATTCTCGGGCGTCAAAATCGTGTCCAAAAATCATCATCATCATCATTACAGCCCTTAACAAGTCCACTGCTGAAAATAGGCCTCCCCCAAGTTATGCCACAAAGCACGGTCCAGAGCCACCGGCATCCATCGACTTCCTGCATGTATTATCAGGTCATCACTCCATCTAGTGGGGGGTCGCCCTACACTTCGCCTACCGGTACGAGGCTGCCACTCGAGAACCTTTTTTCCTCAACGGTTGTCGGTTCTTCGAGCTATATGGCCGGCCCATTGCCACTTCAGCTTACTAATCCGTTGGGCTATGTCAGTCACTCTGGTTCTACTGCGGATATACTCATTTCTAAGTTTATCACGCAGAGAAACCCCGAGCGTAGCACTCTCCATAGCTCGCTGAGCGACTTTGAGCGTCCTCATACGGCCAGCAGTGAAGGACCACGTCTCGGTTCCGGAGGTCATCACTGGCAACACGCACTGGTTGTATAATTTAGTTTTCAGGTTTTGAGGTATACCTGACGAGAAGATGTGTCGTAATTTTCCGAATGCTGCCCAGCCGAGTTGAATCCGTCGATTGACCTCTCGGTCGAAGTTGGACTTACCTAGTCGGACTATTTGTCCCAGGCAAACGTACTCGTCAATAACTTCGAGCTTAGTGCTCCCAACAGCTACGGGCATAGGTGTGACATGGACATTAAACATGATCTTTGTTGGGAGGCACTATTGAGGTCATTGAGCGTAGTGCTTAGGTTCTCCAGCGATTCTGCCATAAGGACTATATCGTCGGCAAATCGAAGGTGAGTGATGTACTCGCCATTGATGTTAATACCGTATCCTTTCCAGTCTAGTAGCTTGAGAACGTCTTCCAATGCAGCGGTGAAGAGTTTCGGGGATATAACGTCACCCTGTCTTACACCTCTCTGCAGTTGGATAGGTTTCGTACTCTGGTTCTGTACTCGGATAGCCATCGAAACCCTACTGTACAAACACTTCAGCACTTCGATATATCGACAGTCAACTTGGCACCGCTGAAGAGACTGTAGCACCGCCCAAATTTCGACGGAATCAAAGGCTTTCTCATAGTCCACATACGCGAAATTTTGTAATTTGTCTTCGTAATACGGTATATATGTGGTCTATGGTACTATAGCCTTTTCGGAAACCGGCTTGTTCGGGAGGTCTAAAAAGTAAAAAGGAGAGCCTAAAAAATACGATATAATATTTGTCCAATCTGGCCTTAAAAGTACTCTCATAAAGGTGCATGTGGTGTATTGTGTAGGCTGAAAAAGCAAAGCAAGCGATACCTTGAAGGTGTACTCCCTCTCGGCGGGGTGGTTGGCAGGCTGGCGCAGGAAGTCGGCGAGCGGCAGCACGCCGGCGCCGAGCGGGCGGCGCGCCAGCGGGCCGCGGCGCTCGCCCGTGCCGCCCGCGGCGCCCGCGCCGCTCCAGCGCGCCACGCGCACCACCCACGCCACCAGCCACAGCTCGCGCGACAGATCCGTGCTCGACAGGTCCTGCAGTACCATACTCATACATAAAAGTGGTGCCATTTTGCGTAATGAATGTATGCGCATGTCAACTATTATTGTAAACGATGAACAACTGCTCCAATGGTCAAGTAAATCTCAAATGATTGTGTTTGCTACGGCGCCCTGAGGTAATATCGGTTGGTTTAAGCTGTCGTCAAAATCTCCCATTTTGCAATGTCACATCAACTTATTGTAAAGAAATGACCTCTTATGTTATTGCGAACACCACAAATTTAAATGAAACTAAATTTAAGGATTTAATTATATGTATATATATATATATATATATATATATATGTATCAAATATTAAGCCCGTATGTTGTAGTATTTTATTTCATTTGTCAGTGTTATTACGTAAATCCTTTCAATACTTTTAAACCTTTTGCTTTAAAAAAAACGGTGCCTCGGTACTAAGAGCATACTGTTTACGTTACTTTAATCTATAACGGAACGAGTAAATAAACTAAAAAAATGTCTTTTTGCAGAAATGTGTCAAATATCTTATCTTTAGCAGTCATTGTAATTGCGACCTAAATAAAATTATTTAATGTTTTACCAGCAAATGAAATATAATACTATAACAATGGCTGCGATTATATTGAGTCACCTTCCTGACCTTTATAAACCCCGATATGAAACAATTTGTACGTAAAGGGAAACGTCAAAGATAAAAGTACAGTACAGTCACATTTTCTGGGTTTTGCCATCTGTTATGAAACATAAATAATTTGGAAATCGAAGACATTATAAATTAAATACAACTGTTAAAAATAACATGAAATAATCTTAATTAGTTTCTACAAAAGAGTACCAACAACTTTAATGCGGTGATTAAAACACAAATTATTGCATTAAAGTCATTTTATGCTACTTCATCTCGACGAAAGAAGCAACTTAAAGGAGAATATAAAATAAAGCAAAGTAATGCAGAAGATTTACGAAGCAAAGGGAGCAGATGAAAAAAAAATGTGTTCTAAATGCGATTTTTATGTAATATGAAGTCCCAATAATTTATAAATAAACGTCCTCGGCTTAAGGGTATCTAACGATACATTCCAGCCGTATTTTAATAACTTTTTTTATAGGATAGGGTGACAAACCAGCACACGGTCCACCTGATGGTAAATGGTTGCTGCGGCCCATAGACATCTACATCTACCCTCAATTACAAATCAAAATGCAGATGCGTTGTCACCCGTGAGGACTAAGATGGAATGCCTCGTTTCCAGTAAAAAGGATCTCTGGTTCTCTACACTTCCCATACGAAACACATCAGCATTAAGCTACTATTTTACGCCGGTATTTAGTAAGATAGAAATTGTTGATATTACTTTCCAGCCACACCTAGTTTTCATCATCATTACATAGATTCACATGTCAACTGCTGAACATAAGCCTCCCACAAGGAATGCCACAAAGCACGATCCTGAGCCACTTGCATCCATCAAATTCCTGCATCTTACCTGGTCGTCACTTATCTAGTGGAGGGTAGGTCTACACTTCGCCTACCGGTACAAGGCTGTCACTCGAGAACCATTATCCCCCATCGGTTGTCGGTTCTACGAGCTATATGGCCGACCCATTGCTACGTCAGCTTACAAATCCGTTAGGCTATGTCGGTCACTTTAGTTCTACTGCGGATATCCTCATTACTAAGTTGATAACGCAGAGAAACCTAGGTAATCTCCTAGGTACTCATTTTAGCCAAACGCAAACGGCCGCATTTAGTTGGAAGCTGGATGAAACTAGGTGTAACCGCACTTCGGCTTTAAGCTATAATAAGATTCTTAAATATAACTATGATTTATTAAGGTTGTCTTCCAAATACAGCATATGGTTACTTTTTAATATATTACATAACCCAATATCCAATTGGTTTTATATAAAATATGAATATCACATAGAATTATGTGACGATATTACCATGTGATGGTGGATAAACATTCCCAATTCCCAAAATTTCTTCCCATAGATAAGGTATAGGTAAGTTGATGGCGAATGCCGGACAGATGTTATGGTTTTTGAGAGGTGGAAACGTAACTATCTCGTTAACACCATACGTATCACACGGATATCGGTGACGGAGACAACATACATTGATTGCTTGAGTCGTCGGGTACTGCCATAGTAGATCATATCTGCTAAGCCAGCTGATAATGGCAAATTCATCCTTCAACGGTAAAGGTTTATCTATGTCTAGCAGTAGACTTTAACCTGCTCAAGAAATAAGCGTCGAAAAAGAAAACATCAATAGCCTTAAAATATCCTATTATCTTTGTCAGTAAGTAGTGTTAAAGGTGTGATTTAGCAAATCTACCTTTTCTCATCATCATCATTTCTGCTATTAATGCTTAGTATCAATCAGCGACTTTTGACTTGGTGGAAGGGCTTTTGCAAAGGTTTGTGAAGATTGTATCCGTCGAACAAAGTTGCTGAGAAGCAAATTGTCAAAAAGTTAAACTTTTTAAGCTTTCCCTAAGTAAAGCCTTCACAGTAACTTGAAACGAAAACTTTACTGAAGAGATGCATGTGATCCGTACGCCTAAGCTGTAATACGAAATACTTATGAAAATGCCGCAACGTGTTGTGGACTTGTGGTTGTGTATCTAAATATCTTAAGTAGTAAATATATGTATAAGCGCCATTATTAAGCGTTTGATTTTCAAACAAGACAAACATTTTTATTATTAACACAACCCTTTGGAATTCATAATCGATTTTTTAAGGCTACCGGCTCACATTAAATCAGTTAGGTACATTGTTTGGCTAAAGACACTATGACGTAAAAAAGCACATAAACATTATAAAGCAACATAGTTAAATAAGACTGATGCATTTGTTAAGTTTTGTTTTGACTACGTTTTGTCAAAAATAAAGGCCAATGAACATTTTTTATCGTCCCCGTTTGTTAGAGTTTGTTCTAAATACATCGAAGAAAAAAACTTAATCGAAAAGTTGCTTAAACTAAATTATTTATTATTTAAGCTGATGTTTCAGTCGTAGTTAACCAGGCTTACGCAATTGGGTCGTTTCTTATAACTAATTTATCATATATTAAAATTGTATTAGGTATATACTAGCTGGTACCGCGCGCGTTGCTACCGCAGAAGAAATAATTGTGAAAATATCGTTTTAAATTCGGAATTAGGAATGATAATACATACTTACGATCACTGAAATGGAATGATCCATAACTTTCAAATAAATTTGTCCGTAAGATACTCACGCCATCTATAGTCAACCAAATCCAAGAAATACATTTTGACAGCTCAGACTTATTGCACCAAGCATGCCAACCAAAAAATGGGAACGTAGAATATTCGATTCTTAAAAAAATCGATATCGGTTATTTAGAGTTGGTTATCATTTCAGTTTGGTTTGGATAATACCAGAATAAATTAAAAACGGATAATTTAAAACACAAGATTTATCAGTTTCTTCGTATTTGTTGTTACTGCTTATTTCTAGAGGCAAAGTTATAAAAATTTAAGATTAAACCAGATTAAAAATAAATTTATTCAATCACTTTTAAACAACTAGTTGAGTTGTCGTCGTTTAGATTAATTATTATTATTTGATTTTCAATAATACAATCAAAATTAATGTCTCTTTCTGTCATCCATAATCAATTTTTTTTCTACCACTTTTGCCCAATCATTATTTGTGACATGGGCACATGCTTCAACGAATATAGAAGTAACAGTCCATAAAGTTAAAGCAGAGTCACAAAATAAGAAGACAAACGTAAAATCACAAAATTAGACACAGTAAGCCCCCGAAATGGCGGGAGATTTTAGAGACGTAGTGGTTTTTTCAGCGCGGCTTTGTATATGAGCTTTTTTTGCCTACAGAAATTTACGTCGAAGTTAAAAAAAAAACTTGTTTTATTCATGATTCATGTAATATAATGCATGAATAATAATCATGGAGCCGTGGTAGCTCAGGTGGTTAACGCTCGCTGTAAATATAACAGAACGCGAGTAACCCGGGTTCGATCCCCGCCGGCACCAGTGAAATTGTTAATTGCAATTTTAAGTGCTGATACCACGTGCTCGGCGGTGAAGCAAAACATCATGAGCAAGCATGCATGACTAAGGAATAAGAAAAACATATTTCGAAGACATGTGAATTTCACCAACATGCATTGGGGCTGCGCGGCGGACACTTCCTTGCCGTAAAACTCTCTCAGAAATGAGGGGAGGCCTGTGCCCAGCAGTGGGACGTATATAGGCTGTAACTTTACTTTAATTTTATGTAATAATATAAAATTCCTTAATTTTAAAAATAAAAATTTAATTAAACAAATAATACATTAAAAAAATTTATGATTCGATTATTTGAATATTTTTACCGATTATTTGAATATTTTTTACGATTATTCGCATAACAATGAATTTTAATCATCTAAACACTACGGTAACGTACATAGCGACATATAATTAAAACGACGTCAGGTAAAAAAGTTTATACTGGTAATAAAAACTATACACGTTGTAATGAAATATAGATAACTTCATATATCTTCAGATTAACGTAAAGGGTTATTTTAAATCGTGCGAGTACGCTTGTGCTAAGTTATTGCGGATTAATTAATGTGAAACGTCAAAAGGTATTTCTTAGATTTGGTTGACTATAGTGTAAGTTATTTGTACTAGGTTTCATAACCTTCGCACAAGTGCAAGCAATAGGTTACCAAGTTTTACCGCAACCGCAATCTGATGACCGGTATGGCATGGTATAAAATACGAACAAATAAATTTTAATTTTTAAATATTAGAAGAAAGATTATGTCGATAAAATGATATAATAGTTTTTAGAGATCGTTGGAAATAGATAATAATATTATTGTAATAGAAAGATACTCACAGCAAAGAGAGTGCTGTTGGCATGCAGGCGGTCCACGTAATTTGAGAAGCCATCTCTCGCAATCCTCACTCTAAACCGTTCAGACAAGGGCTGCGACCGCCTCGCGTCATGCAGCCATAGCAAAAGCTCCGCTTCATCGCCGCCTGCCGTATGACCAAAGTCCCGCATATTGCACATCAAGTGGTGCGATTGAACGGTGGTGGTGGTGGTGGCGGTGTTGGTGCTGTTTGTGAGGGTTCCCGAGTTGAAACTGCTGCCGGAGCCGCCAGCACGTCGTAGTGTGCCACGCCACTGAAAGATAAAGAAATTCGCTTTATGTTGAATTCACGATTAATATTCATTCTTTTTCTCGATATTTACTAGGTACCATCACAGCCATTAGATGTGATAAGCAAAGGGTCCTTCTCAGGTTAGTAAGATTCCATTTCTGTTCTTACTTTTGAAGCTTTTGTCATACAATATTTCAATCAATTGACATTCGATACTCAGTTATGACTAACCGCTAAACCCGACCGTGCATTGATACAAATGCACAGAAAATAATAATATAAAAGTATATGAGCAAAATGATAATTACATACACGGCACTGTATTTAATAAATTAAGGATGAATGAAATTAAGTTTTCGTGGTAAGATGGAATTCATATCAGTCGTGTATTTAAATAGCTAAGCCAGTATACATTTTAAATTTATTATTAGTAATATTATATTAGGTACAAATACAAAATATGTAAATATTTAAGCACTATCCTTGATGAAATGTGTACTCATTTATTCATGAGGAATTTACGTAGTTAAAACCGTTGTGAAATCCAACAGGAAATGCATGTATTATTTTTATTCAATGTTACTGTATTGTGATATTACCAGTGAGTATTCCGTCGAAGAAGCACTACTACTTACTCCTTGTTTTACGTATTTGGTATTTAATACGTACGTACTTATGTACATATTAGAAACAGTATATGTAATTTATTTAGTCTTTTACTATGTCTCTTCTTAAAAAAATCTTTTGTTTGAAGTAAAATATTCAAAAATTCCCAATAAATTGATCCTGATTACGTCACAGAGCCATACATTAGCGTATTAAAGCAGTAACATGCATAGCAGCACGACGCCAGAAAATACCAGCGTAAAATAGCAAATAACATAATTCTGTAGCAACTTTTGGCTTATAAGTGACAATGTTATGTTTTATACGTGGTAGAGCCATGCTAAAACTATAAATAATAATAACATCTCAGTGGAGATTAGCCAGTTGTAGTGCCCGAGTGAACGCGCAAGCACTGGTGCACTCTCCGTTCCATCACTCTCTCAGGAGTGAAACACAGCCAACTTCCTGGCTCCGGCATGATGCTAAGAATGTGCTTGAAAATCTCAATAACTGATTTTTTGGTCCGACCTGGGATTCGATCCCGGACCGGTATGCTATATAGGCTGCAGATATTTTTAAGGTGCCTAACACAAATGATTTGGCTCGACCGGGGAAGGACCGCGTAGTCACAGAATACCAGCGTGAAATATCAACTTAATCCTGCTGTGTTTCGAATGGTGTCTTCAGAGAACCGGAGAACCTTTTTTAATGGAAACGAGGCATTCCATTTAAGTTCTTAGAGGTAGCAACGCAACCACATTATGATTCTTGATGCTAAAGATATCAGTGATAAAGACGTCTATAGGCTACAGCATCCACTTACCATCATGTCAATTGTGTGCTAGTTTGTCACCCTAATACTATAATTTTTTTTATAAATACTGCAATGTCACATTTTTGCACGTCTCACTCACATATTACAAATATTATGTGCTTGCTGCAAAATAAATGTTATTGTTCCAGGGTTAACAGGTTTTTAAATTTCGCCGTGTTAAAAAAATAATATCTGAATGTAGAGGTAGAATTACATTTTAAAAAAGTAAAAAGCGACATTAAAAAAACAAAAAAGGATAAAATAGTTTCCCCATAATTATGTAACTTTTTATTTTTTATTTTATATCTCACTTAAACAATAAACGTTGTGTCGTGAACATGAAAGAGACAATAATAAACTTAAGTAACTTAAGTAAAATTAAATTAAAGTAATTTGTAGTACATAACTATTGATGTCCTAAGTCAAAAGTGTATTGATAAATTAAAGGCCCAGCTTCGAAGCTATTAGCCCATGTTTCTCTAACAAATTAATGTGTAAGGCTCGAAATTTCTTGATTCCTTTCATTGTAATCGTGCAAATGATTTTGTTCAAATACAAACTTTCACATAACTAATTGGTACAAACGAATAAAAAGTGACAACTTTATCTATAGTTAAAATATGTATTTTAATGTCTTTACAGAATCTGACAATTCACTTGTAGACCTTGGCAGGCAAGTATTAAATGAAACTAACACCAATGCGCTATCACGTGCATATACTACATGAGGTAAGAAGAAACCAGATCTGCAGTATGTCAGCGACTTATCCATATAAGGGTTACTGATATGACCGACTTTTAAAAAAGTTTCTCTCTGTAAGAAATACAATTACCTACATACCTAATATAAATATTATTTGTAACTTACAACGAATATAGTCTTAAATGTAATACTGCCGAGTTTGGAGTATTTTATAAAAATTTGTAAACTTAAAAGCCTCGAACATAAAACGAGCTTCTTGATCCAAGTAATATGGTCACAGATATACCTATATTTGTCGGCAACTTACAGTCCAACAACAACCAGTATCCAGTACAGTTGTGAAACGGACGATGGATGTTTTACACATGATTTTCGTTTTATCTATGTTTATCTTAAGACCCATTCGTTAGCAGACACTACTGCGGTCATAGAGCATAATGTTAAGGTCTTCAATGAGTTTGCTACAATGACTATACAATATGTAACTTAATTAACGCACACCCTCAGACACCCCAATTAGTATATTATGTTATAATCATAATACATACACTGAATGTTTAGTTAAACATTTTTATGCACTGATTATTTATCAAATTAGTTACACTAATTCAGGAAGAATGTTGTGGTCACAGTACAAATCCATGAACGCAATTAGACTTTAATGAGCTTGAAATAAAGTTCATTTTTCTTTATTTTTATTTTAATGACAGAATTATATTTTATTTATATATTTAATTAATTAATACAAATAAAACTGCACTCTTAAAAGTCTTATTGCCTTAAGTTACGGTCCATTTCGGTTTGTTTTAACTGTACAGATTTAGTGTGACTGTAATTTACGTAGTTTTAATTATTTTTGGGATAAATAATTACCTATATTAAAAAATGATAGGAATCGATTCAGTAAACGATTCTGAACAAACTACTTTCTCAAAGTGCGTTAATTATGTTACGTGTTGTATATGGTTGGTAATTCGAAGTCGAGTGATATGTTCGAAATTGATACTCACAAATATCCAGACCATTTTCTGCGAAAACGACTTCCAATGTGGGGGTCGACCGCTCCTAACACCTTTCCACAGTCGTTTAGGTTTCTTACTTTTGTTATGTACTCGACTATGGTGGACATCGTCGCCGTACTGTTCAAGCACTTCAGCATCTCGATATAACGACCATAGATAATATACTATATAGGGCACCGACTGTCTATCATGCATCACTAAAGGAACTGTAGCATTTGAACTGAAGAATTTATCACCATCTTATTCCTCTTGTTGGTAGTCGTGAGGGTCGACATAAAAATGCTCAATAATTATTTTGCGTTTTTCATAGCAGATTTTGCATTTTTTATTGGATAAGGGTGACAAGCGAGCACACAGTCCACCTGATGGTAAGTGGATGCTGTGGCCCATAGACATGTATTTCTATCCTCGTTTGGGTATCAAAATGCAGATAATGCAAAAAAATGCAAAATTATGTCAGCCGTGAGGACTAAGATGGAATGTCTCTTTTAGTATTACGCTGTTATTTTACGCTGGTATTATTTGAGAGCGTGGTCCATCTCCAGTTGAGCCGACCCATTCGTGCTACAACTATACAATTAATATAGCTGCAACATGGCTCTACCGCGTAAAATCATATGTAGTTTTAATGATTGCTTTAAGTGTTTATATATATATATATATATATATATATATATATATATATATATATATATATATATATATATATATATAAAAGTGAGAGAGCCGTCACAGACGTCACAGAGTACAGTTTTATTATATATAATAATGACGTGAAAAATGCTCAAGGTAAATGTGACGTGGCAAGGACAAGTATTTTAAAGATCCTGCGATGAAAACCGGAATTAAAATTTTAAAGCTCCGCCATCTTGTAGAAAGTCAACAGCGTACCTTGAGATTATTGTGTGCGGATTTTATATGTTTTTTCATGAAATCAGAGAGATTATATCGCGTGTAAGTTATAAAAATTGCTGCCCGAGAAACTGTTTTAAAATAAAGTAATTAAGTGAATTGAAGCATACTGTTCAGTTTAAAACTAGAATATTTTACCGTCTGTATTTTACACATGTGTAAGTACATGAAATGGATACACAGGATGAAAGAATATACTTTTTATTATTTCAGGTGTTTCTGCGAAAACGGTAACTAGAATTACTAAAAAAGGAAAAGTATTTCAAAAAAAAAATTGTTACCCCTGTAAAAAGCTATTCGCAACCCAAAAAAAATGTCGATTTCGTTTTATGTCTATACGACGTATAATCAAAATAAATAAATAATCCATTTTTTTATGTAGTGAAGAAAAACATTTCCGTACATAAACTACGCTTGATCAAAACAAGGTATAAGTTTTAAAAGAAGTAATACAACTTGACGAAGAAGTTTAAAAGAAATTAGGCTTTCGTTTCAAACGCTGTCAATCTAAACGCAAAGTTTTGATAGAACACTATGACGTAACAGCGTGGCGTGCCAAGTGTATGGTGATGATCTTAGATAAAATCTACATTCATTCTACTTACCATGCAAAGAGTTGTTGGCAAAGTGTATATATTGGGTGTTTTAGCTGCATGAAAAGTTTCGATAGTGGTTGTCTATAGTTTGAAAGTTGAGATTGTCAAAATGTGTTGACATTTTTGTTCGGTAAGGTTTGGCAATTCGTCATGAATCGTTTAACGCCAGAATAATACCTCCAAATTGTGAAAATCCACTTTGAAAAATATAAATCTGTTTGCAAATTTTATAGAGCACTTTGTCCATTTTATGGTCAACATAATCAACCTAGTGAGCAAGGAATTCGTGCGGTTATTGATCGTTTTCGCAATAATTTTACTCTTCTCGATTCAAGGCCATGAATAAGACAAAGAAATTTGCGTAACGAAGAGATTACTGCTGTAGCGCGAAGTGTTGAAGAAGACGCCAAAAGGTCGATTCGTCGCCATTCACAACTTGTTAGCCTTTGTCCTTCGACCACGTGGAAAATTTTACGTAAAGATCGTGGCTTACGTGCCTATAAAATACAGTTCATGCAAAAATTAAAGCCAAATGACCATCGTTTACGTTGCTTTTTTGCTGACTGCGCTAATTTGAAACTGGCCGAAGGTGAGCATTTTTATCGAAGAACTATGTTTAGTGATGAAGCACATTTCTAGTTAAATGGCTTGGTGAATAAGCAAAATTGCCGTATATAGACGAAGACAATCCTTATGCCATTAACGAATCACTATTACATCCATTAAAATTGACTATTTGGTGCGGTTTAAACTGTAGCGACGCTGTCGTCGCGCCACAATCGAAATACACCGAAGCCTAAATCACGCTATTAACATTCCGAATAATAAACAGTATATATAGAACATCTCCGATACTACTATCACACGGAGCGTTGGCCGCTCCCCAGGCAGAACACCTTGCCCGGCGGGAGATCTCCCCTTTTCCTACCACGGCCACAGTGGTGACCATCCGACGTGATCTGAACACGCAACCAAACAAGCCTTCGGAAACTTCAAGCTTCATCATCGTCATAGAATACTCCACCCATTCGCTCCCGAGCAGATATCGTCTGCAGTCTTCATATCCTGCAAGCCATCTAGCTTCACAAGGTTCATCGCAGCACTGGAGTAATAATGCTTCCTGTTCCTTCAAGCTACTCTCTGCGCCATACAGTGTTCGGCATGGCTCTGAGCCTTACTGCTCGCCTCTGCTTCACGGCACTCTCGCAGATTACTTGCCTTCTTCTCGACTCACCGCATACTACAAGGCAATCTCCTGGCACTTGCACATTCGTTGGCAACGAGGCTGCACTATCGACCTCCGGTCTGAGCGGGGGGTGATGTAGCGGCGCTGTCGTCGCGCCACAATCGAAATACACCGAAGCCTAAATCACGCTATTAACATTCCGAATAATAAACAGTATATATAGAACATCTTCGAACTATCACACGGAGTGTTGGCCGCTCCCCGGGCAGAACACCTTGCCCGGCGGGAGATCTCCCCTTTTCCTTCATCGGCCACAAAACACTGGCGGCATCATCCTTATTTCTTTAGAAATGAGGAAGGAGTTGCCGTTACGGTGAGTGGCAAGCGCTATGCGATGCTGACTGATTTTTTGTTTCCAGTTATTAATCAGCTAAACATCGACGACATTTGGTTCCAACAAGATGGCGCAACTTGCCATAGAGCGCGCTTAACCATCAATTTATTGCAAAATCAATTTCCAGAAGTGGTCCTGTTAGCGCCTCTCAATTACTTTTTATGGTGCTATGTTAAGTCATTGGTTTATGCCGACAAACTAGCAACTCTTGAAGCATTGGAAAGCAATATTTAAGCCACCAGTGACGCCATAGGGCCAGATTTATTGGAAAAAGTGGTGAAAAATTTGACTAGTCGAATGGACTATGTAACTCGTAGCCGCGGCGGTCATATGCCGGAAATCATATTTAAAAAATAAACGCCATTAAATTAACTACCAGATTATAATAATAAATAAATAATTCAAACAATATTTCTTTGTTGTATTATTATTTAAATTTCTCAAGCTCTTAAAAAAAAACAACCTTTATAAGAGAGTGGAGTAGATTTCAGAATCAGCCGGAAAGTTTCGTTATTGCACAAGTGTCGAATGCGTTATTAATTTTTGAATCACATTATCATGCGACATGAATGCTGCAAACTTTCTAAAATGGATATCTGAAAAAGAAGTACAAAAACTGCTTGAACAATCTTTAGTGGTAATGGAAAATGCACCTTATCAATTCACTCAGATCTATAAAAAATAAAAAATAAAAAAGAGAAACCACTTTCAGAGAAATATTTACTTTGAAGAGCTTTACAACGCTAGTATTATATTATGACAATAGATTTAAAAAAATCGCCACGCCATCAGTTTTTTAAGTTGAAGTTAAATCAATACGACCACGAAGTGGTAAGTTACCTTCTTACCATTTATATCCTATTGAAAACAATTGGATTCTTGCAAAGGTCGTGCTGTTGAAAAAAATTTGGTCGAGACCCAAAATAATGGAGTTAACATAAGCCGCTTTTGCAATCATCACTTAAGTAGACTAGCATATTCAATCCAAAAATGTGGACTATATTAAAGACAATTACTTCAAAAACGTAGTATGGAAATGGAGAGATTTATAATATCAACAGTGAGTGACAGCGAAACTGAATCAGATCGTGGCAGTGAATTTATAGACCAAAATATTAGCGATTGCGATATGTCTTGAATAAAAGAACTGAATCATGATGACCATAATTATACAATTCCTTGTTTGTTGTATACTAAAGCCTAATTATCACTGTAAAACTAGTTTCACGCACCTAGCAATCCACTGGTTACATGAACCAATTATAGGAAAAATAGAAACACAACTACAGCGAAATAAGAAATATAACTGAACTTACCTTTGGGGGAAGGTGCATTATGTCTACTTAACTGGCAACATTTTATCATCCGAACGTAGAATAGCGTCTATCGGACTTGAGTGGTAGCGGGGACTTCACTTTTTACTACAGCCATAACAGTCAGCATCAAGTTTCACAGAAAATAACATATTTCCAGGTATAAATATGTAATAATAAAATGAAAAATGTTGGTTTATTTTTAATTACAATTAATGCAACTTTACTACAGTGTTTATACACTGTATTTTAGTTTTATTATTAGTTTTGTCATCTTCTACTTGATTCCATTTTTAATTTTATCAATTTATACTTAGTACCTGGATGACCGAGCTTTCCTCGGTTTTTTTTTTTTTGGAAATTATATATTTAGAAACAAATTACAAACTGATGAAACATGAATAATATTTTTTGATCTTATTGACATAACAGAAAAAACTGAACTGGTTATTTGAATAAAAAATCATGAGTGCAATTAGTTTAATTAAATTTTTCGTATATCTAAAAAATCCAAAAAAGAGTTAGAAATAATAGATTTTCTCACAAAAGAAGCGAACTTGAAAAAAAGGAAAAACAGTCGGACCAGAGACAGGACGCGAACCAGGGCACTTCGATTTCGCGACGGACCGATATCCCACTTGAGCTATTACGATCGTTAATACACTGTCAAAATTTACCTTCTTATATTGTAGCAGTTTCTCATTGCCAGAAAACACGGACAAAAGGACATTTTCTAAAAATGAATCTTATTGGTAACAAGGAAGGAAGGAGGCGAAAAAAGTATGTCAGGATCGTGTCAAATGGAAGTCCGTAATCTCTGCCTACCCCTCTGGGTGACAACCGTGAGTGTTTATGCGTGTGTTTATGTGAATCTTATTCTATATTGCCACATCTACGTCAAATTCTCACCACTCCATGGGTTGACTGGTAGAGAATGCCTCAAGGCATTAAGTCCGCCCTTTGTATTCTTTTGTTAAGGATGCAATAAAGAATTAAAAAAAAATCCCAGCTAGATCGATTGCCCCCAAAACCCCCCTGGACACTAAATTTTATGAAAATTGTTGGGAGCCGTTTCCGAGATTCCGATTATATATACACAAGAATTGCTCGTTTAAAGGTATTATAGGATATGTCACAGGGAAAATAATGATTGGAGGCTGATCGTGGTTATTACACTGCAGCATAATTTAGAGTCAGATAACTATATATATATATATATATATATATATATATATATATATAAGTGCCATTATGTATTACTCCACATAAAGATGGCTCTTTACTTTTTTCTTTCCTCCTCGTATGGCAGCAGTTCGTATCCAGTAATGGTTTACTCGTTACTGATGCTTATGATTCAATATTTACAATATGGATGAAGTCCACGCACAGCAGTGGACATTTAAAGTGATGGTACAGAAGAAGAAGGAATAATATAAATATTAGAATGCACTTACTGCTGCGGCTCTTTCTGCACTCTCAACGTGTACCCTGTACAGTTCCACAAGGCTTATGTCCTCCGGGTCAACCGCCTCCGCACCTCGACGTGGCACAAGCTCTAAGCCAAGTTTTCTGAAAGAAAAAACTAATATAAACATTTGTACTATATTTAGTATAAAGGTAATTTAACTGGATTTATTAATCCGCTATTGCATAGACATTTTCAAAAATATAAAATATCAATGTAGTCTTTAATTCAAGTCCTCGTGTTGATAAATATAAAATATGTCACAAAAACCCTGTGGTTCCCGTTAAGTGTGTTATCAGAATCGGTATTCAAACGTATACAAATAATTTTCTTTTCCAGAAAACTCGAGAACTCGAACATTTTTGGGTGTATTCGCAAAACATTAAAACGAAAAACGCTAATATTTTATCGTTTTAATTATTAACAAAATTTTTTAGTATTTGAAGTGGACACCGCCAAAAAGTTTATATATATATATATATATATATATATATATATATATATATATATATATATATATACGTGTCACGTTGTACGTCCGCGATGGACTTCTAAACTAATTAATCGATTTTAATCAAATTTGGACACGGTGTGCAGTTTGGTCCAACTTATAGAGAGATAGGACAGTTTTTAGCCCATGAGTGACCCAAAATTCTTTTTGTTATAGCAGGGTTGTCGAAAAGGGCAGAACAACGTCTGCCTGCCAAGCTAGTATACAACACGTAACATAATTAACGCACTTTGAGAAAGTAGTTTGTTCATGATCATTTACTGAATCGATTCCTATTTTTTAATATGGGTAATTTTTTATCCCAAAAATAATTAAAACTACGTATATTACAGTCACACTAAATCTGTATAGTCAAAATAAAACTGAAATGGACCGTAACTTTAGGCAATAAGACTTTCAAGAGTGCAGTTTTATTTGTATTATTACTAATTTTGTCATTCACTAAAAATAAAGAAAAATGAACTTTATTTCAAGCATGTTAAAGCCTTTGCGTTCGTGGATTTGTACTGTGACCACAACATTCTTCGGAATTAGTATAACTAATTTGATAAATAAAAGTGCATAAAAATGTTTAACTAAAAATTCAGTGTATGTATTATGATAATAACTTAATATACTAATTGGGGTGTCTGAGGGTGTGCGTTAATTACGTTACATATTGTATATATAAACTGTAGTAACAAACAAACTTACAGTCCATCTGATGTTAAGTGGCTACTGCAGTTCATGTACTCCTGGAACCAACTTCAAACAAGAAGCTCAATGGATGCGTTGTAATGTCTGAGGACTAAGATGGAATGCCTCATAGCCTGTAATTGTACTGGTTCTCTATATGGACGGACTGCTAGGCAGAGAACCCTACCGCCGGTAATTATACTACGATTAATAATTACGAATATAAGTAAAGTAAAATAATAAAGAGCGTCTGTCGGTATTCAAACCAAAGACATTCATGTTCACAAAATAATAATTATTAATAAATTTTAACCACAAATATATTATTTAAAAAAAAAACTATACGCAGAGCCACACTGCAGCTATATTATGGTTGTTGCACGAATGGGTCGGCACAACCGGGGAAGGACCACGCTCTCACAGAATACCAGCGTAAAATAGCTTAATACTGCTGTGTTTCGTATGGTGAGTGTAGAGATCCGGAGACCCTTTTTTACTGGAAACGAGGCATTCCATCTTAGTCGTCAAGGGTGACAACGCATCTGCGTTTTGATTCTTAATCGAGGATAAATGTAGATCTCTAAGAGTCATAGCATCCACTTACCATCCAGATGGACTGTATGCTCGTTTGTCACACTTATTCTATAAAAACACTATCTACCATAAAATACGTTGCTCAAATGTATGCACGTTAGACAACATATTCGTATTCGCTCGTACCATTAACAGTGACTACACATTACACATAATAATTCGATTCGTTAGTCCGTGCTATGCAAACGCGAATGTTAAACATTTGACCGAAAGTAATTCTACGTAAAACTGTCCAACATGAATAGCAGCACCGTGTGAATGTTGTGAATCATTAAGTAGAGTTTCGGAGAACTGCAAACACGATATGTGCCGGATATTAGGAAATCATAATCTTCGAATCAAAACTTACTGACGACCTGGTACAATAAAGGACTGAAAACTTAGACGAGTGAAAGATATGCAAGAAGTCAATGAAGGCAGGTGGCTCAAGGACTATGCTTTATATATATATTCCTTGAAGGAGCAGTGGGCTTGTGAATGGCTGTAATGATGATGAGGTTAAGCCGGAAAACATAAAGAACAAAACATTCTTTTATACATCAAATTGACTAGTAAGATAAAAGCTTTTCCATTTTTTTAACTATTTTAAGCCAGTTTTTGACTTCTATCCCATATTCTATTTTTCATCAAGTGGTAAGGCAGCCGTAGATGGTAAAGAGGACATACGCAATTGGCTGGCAAATTATTCTCTTACTGTACGCAAAGTTTTTGGTCTGAATGCATGGTAAATCCAAAAACAAAGGTGTGGAGCGTCTGGTTATCAAAAGGTGAAATGTAGTGGAGAGATCGGAAATTAGTTACGCAATTCCCGCGCAGACACTGTGTGACATTTATTCTGTACAGCACTAAAAGACTGGCTACAATGCGCTTATGTTCGAGACTGGTGGCGTTAACTCGATTCGGGTCACCAATATGCCTCTTAGTACGCATTTCTTTGAATTAAAAACTGCTGGGTGGCATTTTACATCACCAGCCCATATTATAAAGTAGCAATATTCCATGCACAACCGGACTTGCAATTTAAAGTAGGCAATTCTCCCGGTGTGAAGTACAGCCACAACCCCCAACTTTGCAAGAATTATTTGTTGAAAATGACGGATTATATCGACACGTCTAAATCCGTAAAACCAGAGTTTTTACATTCTGGTACTTTTATCTATACATAATAAAAATAAAATTGAAGTGTCTGTTTGTGATATTGACGAAACTGTCTTCTTTCAAGCTCAGGGAGTTATTTGCATGATAGTAAAATATAAATGACCATTATTAATCTCTCTGTACATTTGTCTGTCATGAAACTTTACGAACAGATAGAAAGTAATTCCAGGAGGGAGGGATCTAGGCTACATTTTGTCCGAAAAACTTCAGTATTTATAAAAAACTATAATAAATAACCCTTATATAAAATACCTTTAAACGAGCAATGCTTGTGTTATATATATATATATATATATATATTAATAATTATATAATAGGTACGTAGCTCTCTCCCTTCCCTTCAAAAGTAGCTTATCACCTAGCGAATTATTCGAGAGGAATCGGCTGACTGTTAGCCAGTTTGCGCACTCACAACCAACCAGACTGTTTCGTATGCGCACTAGCAGCCCAACGCGACTGAAGTATCGGCCGATAAAAAGTATATAGTCTAGCGGTGGCGCTTATAAATTTTGAATTTAGTGATCCATAATCATATGGCGAACGCTACACGCGTGATATTTATCATGATCTGGGATGCGATCTGGAATGACGTATCGCGATCCATATCGACACACCTTACACGTTCATTACGGATCAAGTCAGTATTGGGCACAAAACTGTTTATCGACACACCTACAGTCATTACGGATCATGTCAGTATTGGGCACACTGTTTACGACACACCTTACACGTTCATTACGGATCACGTCAGTATTGGGCACAAAACTGTTAAGTGCAGACATATCTAAAATGGACCGAAATTTTTTATAGGACAGGGTGAGCCTTGCATAGCCGAGTTATAATAAATGTGACAAATGAGCAACTGATAGTAAGTAGATGCTGTGATCCATAGACATCTACATCTATCCTCGATAACGAATCAGAATGCAGATGCGTTGTCACCCGTGAGGACTAAGATAGAATGCCTCGTTTCCAGTAAAAAGGGTCTCCGGTTCTCTACACTCACCATACGAAACACAGCAGCATTAAGCTACAATTTAACGCTGGTATTCTGTGAGAGCGTGGTCCTTCCCCGGTCGAGCCGACCCATTCGTGCTACAACTATACTACTAATATAACTGCAGCATGGCTCTACCACATATAAACGCTTTCTTAAAGCTTGTGTGGCTATCATTATGGCAATAATATTAAAAAGGAGAGTGTCGATTTTAACGATTTTTTTCTAACATCTTCCATTGAAGTGCCTTCTGAAGTGCCTTCATGCGCTTACAATTGTTTTTAAAACCATCATACGATGTGTCGCATTATATGGGCGTTGTTTCCAAACATAATTTAAAAGCATGTAATTATTTTTGATGGATTGTAGATGATCCCGTCGAAACAGGATTCTCTCTTTCCTTTGCGATTTCGCCCGCATCGCTACAAAAGTCGTCCTCTTCCATCGCTTCTTCAGAGCAGACTAACGCGATCCGTATCGCAGCAACACTACACGCGCGATATTTATCACGATCCTTGGATCGCGATATAGATTTTCGGAAATTTAGAAATTCTGTGACCCGTGTCGCGATCCATCAATACTTGATACTACACGTTCAATAAATATCACGATCCTGGATCGCGATCCAAGGATCGTGATAAATATCACGCGTGTAGCATTCGCCTATGACGTTACGAAACGTCAGTAAAACACGTAGTTGTACAATTTTGCCGCTCTTTACGATATAAGTAATCATCGATCGATTTCTTTCGGTGTGCAACCAAACGGTCGCTAAACCAGTTATTCAAGCGTCTCGTCTTGTACGACCAGTAACGTTTAAACAAGCCGGTTATTTATGACTATAAGTCTAACGCTTTGTATATAAATTTAAGTCACTCCTCCCCCAGCCTCTCCCTTGGGGTCGGGTGAACCGTGAAATTAAAAAAATCGCAGTAGAACAGGCGTTTAGGACCTTTGCCGGTTGCAGAACGGCTAAGTGCGAAAGTACTTTGTTACGCTAAGACAGTACGATTCACCATCTAGGTCTACATCACCACTTACTACCTACTACCAGCGGGATATCGTGGTCAAGCAGTGACATATAATAAGTTAAAAAAATGCAATGCCTAAATGCAGCGAAAGTGGTACATCATGGGGTTTAACTCGGTGCAATTCCGACGTAACCCTATCCTTGTCCATACGAAGCGGGTATGAGTAGGAACTTTTCCCATGAAAAGAGAAGTAGATGCCTACAACGTGTTCTTCTTGTCGTCACCATCACTTTAGTTTATTACAGATAATGCTACCAAGTTATGAAACAAATTTTTACTCATAATTAACGATAGTTTAAGAGTGTGTCTGCCAACTACTGTGAGCCGTGGTCGCTCAGATGGTTAGCGCTCGCTGTAAATTTCACAGTATGCGAGCAACCTGGGTTCGATTCTCGCCGGTACCAATGAAATTTTTAATTGCAATTTTAAGTGCTGATTTACTACGTGCTTGGCGGTGAAGGAAAATATAGTGAGGAAACATGCATGTCTGAGAAATAAGAAAAAAAAATTCGAAGACATGTGAAGTTCGCCAACACGCATTGTGGCAGCGTGGCGGACACTTCCTTGCACAAATACCCTCTCAGAAATGAGAGGAGGCCTGTGCCCAGCAGTGGGACGTATATATAGGCTGTAACTTTACTTTTAATTTACTTTACTGCCAACTAAGTTTATAATTACACAGTAAGGCTGAGATCTATAGACTGTACTTTGACTTTGCTCAGACTTTACTTACGAAAATTTTTACTGAGTATAAGCTTAGCATAATCTTTGATTCTGAATTTATAGTTATATTGGGCTAAGATTAAGCTAAGCTTATAAAATTAAAAAAAATTCATAAAAATCTAAAAGAATCCAGATGGTATTTTATAAATAAGTTATTACCACATTTAACTAATTCTAGTTTAAAATATGAAAATTAAAACAAACTTTTGGACAGCCGGTCAAGCGCTGTCAAATCACTGTTTCAAACGTAAAGCTTTTGGTTTATTGATATTGTGTGCATTTATATTTTATCTGTATAATCTTTTTATTACGACTGGTTTTGGAACTTGGACTTCCGTTCCCTCACCTACCTATTCGACCAATGCTTCTGGAATTTGGACCCGACATTCTTTGGGATTTTCTGTAACTGTGTATAATGGTGATTATAGTTAGAGTTCTGTCTATGAATATTTGGCTAAAATAGCTTTTTTATCTGAAATTACGTAAATATATAATGAATTAATACTAATCAAAACTAGAAGACGGCCTATAACCACTTATATATTATTATAAATAATTAAAGTGACATTAAAACAACAATTTAAAATTAATACGGTGGTTTTGGTTAATATCCTAAGTTTTTCGTAAGTCGTAGTTTTCTTTGACCTTAGGTTTTGCTTAGGGCGCACTCAGCACGACTTCCATAGATGTATACTATATAGGGCAACGACTTCGAAGTTCGCTCTATAAATAGTATATATATATATATATATATATATATATATATATATATATATATAATTACTTACGTTTAATAAATACGTTCGGGAAATTACGACATATCTTTTCGTCAGGTATACCTCAATCTCTAAAAACTAGATTGTACAACCAGTGCGTGTTGCCAGTGATGACTTACGGATCTGAGACGTGGTCCTTCACTGCTGGCCGTATGAGGACGCTTAAGGTCGCTCAGTGAGCTATGGAGAGGGCTATGCTTGGAGTTTCTCTGCGTGATAGACTCAGAAATGAGGATATCCGCAGTAAAACCAGAGTTACCGACATAGCCCAACGGATTAGTAAGCTGAAGTGGCAATGGGCCGGCCATATAGCTCGAAGAACCGATAACCGATGGGGAAGAAAGGTTCTCGAGTGGCAGCCTCGTACCGGTAGGCGTAGTGTAGGGCGACCCCCCACTAGATGGAGTGACGACCTGGTAAGACATGCAGGAAGTCGATGGATGCAGGTGGCTCAGGACCGTGCTTTGTGGCATTACTTGGGGGAGGCCTATGTTCAGCAGTGGACTTGTGAAGGGCTGTAATGATGATGATGATGATATATATATATATATATATATATATATATATATATATATATATATATATATATATATATATATATACTACTATTCTACATACTACTATTCGCCGAGCTTTATCCACTTCAACATTAGAAAATAAAATTCTAATATCACCGTGACTAATACACAAAAATTATAACAAAAACCATATAGTTATAGTAGTATATGTGTAATAGAAAATTACGAACCCATATTCTCTTATAGGGTGGGAGCAATCTTACTTTTAATTACATCACATTTCATCAATTGCAATAATTCTAAACGGTGACAAAGACAACATCACACTTTGCCATGTAAATGTTACTCTTACTCACATATTACTAAATACTTCTTTTGCTACATATTGTTACGGAAATTAAGCTACCAGAATTTTGAGGAAGGTTACTTTAATATGAGCAGAATAGATAATATTAAGCATGTCATAATACAAGGACAGCAAAATAATAAAGACCAAAAATTAATTAAGACATCTACAACACAGGTACCGACCGTGTTCTGACGTGAGCCTTGATTACTTGTATTGTTTTTTTTATAAAAAAAGGGGCAAACGAGCATGTGGTTCAATTGATGGTGACTACCACGAATAGGCTAGTTGCAAAAATTAATTAGTATATTATTTAAATGCCGTGGTATATTTATATGTAGAAACATTTTGTAAATTTTATCTTTCATTATCATATACCATATTAAAATAAATCTCTTATAAAATACATTGGCACAAGAATTTTTTTTCATATGTGATAAAAGCGTAAACGTGTACTTAGATTTTTAAATCATGTAATTTTATAAAGCGTTTTATTAGTAATTGTAATTTCACTGCAAAATATCACATGAGTAGACAAACGGATAAAAGACAATGCTTCCTAAGAACGGTTAAAATTAACCTATTTTGGTAGGGTTGTCAAAATATGTTAAGACAAATAACAAAAAGTTTGTCAAATAGTTTTATTACTCAGTAGGATAGAATACTTTACAAATTATTTATTCTAACATTTTTCTTTTTATAATTTGTGTTTTTTAATAATTATTGTTTCTTAAAAGAAACAATAATTATTAATAAACATTAACATTAAACATTGGTGTTATAAATTCTGAATCTAACATAAAGTTTACTATAGCTGTTGAGGAATTCTTTCATGAGGAGACTATCTTGTCTGCAGCAGTATTTTATGGTGAAGATTATGTTTAGCAAACAAAATCAAATTTAAATACAAGATTTCGAGTCCTTGCTACTAACCGTTAGAGTTCCCTCGTAAGGAGACAATCTTGGCTGCTACACCAGGTTATATCTATCATATTATTGCATTGTCACTGAAGTTACGGTATACAAAATTTCAACTCAATCAGACATCGGGAAGTGCTTTAAATCTTACTTGCAATATATGAACTTAACACGCGTATCTACTACATACCAACACACCCATATACCTACAAATGTTTAGTAATATACAATAAAAAGGTAAACAAAGGTAAACTAAACTACACACCATGTAGTACCCTCTTATTATTTAAAAAAAATAGGATCATATAATAAAATAAAGGTACTTAATTGAAAAAATAATAATCAAATATTTAATTACCTATTGTACTCCTTGGGATAGTTTAAGTATGTGATATATTTTTATTTTTTCTAGTAGTATTCATACACAGTACAATACACAATCATTAATTATAATACCACGTTTTTACATTAAA